CTAACTTCGTTTCAGTTTGTGTGTTCTGTTCAACTGTTGATGAGCACTGAGTTCACCAAGGGGGGGAATAACGTGCACTTCGTCGTAGGAAATTATTCCGAGATATAGTAAGAAGAGCTATGCGTCCACTTGCACTGACCTTGTTCCCTGCAAAATCGAGAGGAAAATTTGAACATCGATCATACGACAAAACTAGCTATGCTGCAAGAGCACATACGTTCTCGCATTATTTCTAAACTAGCGATTTTCTAAAATTAAGGAGTTCAACAAAAATCAGAGAAGCGCCATTCTTTTAAGCGTCCTTTCTATCCGTTGAAAATATTGAAGATAAAATTTTCGGCGGATACTAATAAAGCCTTTAGTTTATAAATTGCATTAATATCAATTTCAAATTACGGGAAAACTACTCGATTCTTCAAACCGTCTTCACATACGACCTTCTTCAAAGAGCTCATGTTTTGGAACAGACCTTGTGCAAGGCAAAAATCTGCCTTCAATTTTATAGTTTTGAAATGTTGATTTTTTTGCAATTTTCAAAACTACAGTTCGCCGAAAGTGGGACTTGCTGCTTATCGTCCCTCCGTACCTACATGCAACGATAAAATGTAAAGAAAAACTTGGTGGCGTTTTAGAGAAAAAAGTTTTAAAAAAATTAAAAATTGCCTATATTTTGCGCAAAAATACGCGAAAACTGCGCATATTTTCGAAAAATTGTGTATTTCTTTATTTCAATATCTTTCTTTAAGGAACAGATTTCATAAAGAGAAAAAACTATCTTAAATATTATAGTTGTAGGAAAACGCTCAAACATTGCACTTTCGCCACTTTCAAAAAATCAAGGAATTTAACAAATGTGAGTTCTGCATCATTCTCTTAAACGATATTTACGATATTCGAGGTCAGTTTAATAAAAAATATGTGGGTTTGTCTTGTAAACAAATCAAAAATGTTTTGAGGCTTCATGTAAAGTATCATCAAAAACCAAAATATCCTGTTAAAACTCCCAAATTCTCGATTTCGTTCGCAAAAATTCGAGAATATCAATTTTGGAGTAAATCAGCTGAGCGGATTAGGCGATCGCGTTGACCGCAGACCGACAGGCAGAGTGTTTGCCTCAATCGATTTTTCTGCATTAAGGACCCGCAAAACATGAATTCTGGCTGCACCACGTGCTACTATATATAGGAATACGATTTATTCACTTTTTCGTTTCTAGGGCCCGGCAATTAGAGTTTTTCTGACTAGAATTCGCTTTTTACCATAGTAAAATGTATTACATTACTTTCTCTTGTTACGAAATGAGTGCGAGAAAATATAATTGAGATTGTATTGTTGAGGTTTCTTTCCCTACCAATAAGTATAAGGAGAAATACTGAAAATATGCACAGCAAACAGAAATAAAAATTATTATATTTAGACTAAATGAAAATATTGAAATTTCGAAAACACGAATATATGATACTATTTCTGATCCAACCAGCTACTTTACAACGATTATAACATTCTTCATTTCACACCATCCATATTTTGGGTTCGTTTTTTTCCAAGGGTGGCTATCAATCATTCAGAGGAACAAGAAGACGTTTCCTTGTTCAATGAGTTTCAGAAGATAGATATGAAAGGAGCGGAGAATCTTGTCACTTCATAAGGATGACAAACGCAAGCAATACGACTCAAGCCGGCGTTTCACAGCGTGACACCTAAGATTGAGTGCCGCAGTGGAGAACCCAGAAACACAAGCGAAGTTCCGCCGCCTTGCGTCTGTTTCTCCTTGGTTTACACGAGAACTTAGTGAACTGGTTTACACCATTGGCATTTAGAGAGTCTTTGCCAACTTCATGATTTCTCTGAGATATATTATATGGGTAATTATACTAGATATTAGTTCGAGATATCCGTTTTTTGGTGCGACTGCGAACAACGCGCAATACTACATTGATTTTATGACAGAAATATTTAGTCTGAACGGATCTCAAAGGGCATAACTTTGAAAGCTTTGTGTCACCTGGGAACAGTTCACAAAGTAGTACTATGTTTAGTTCTGAGTTTATCGCAATTCTCGTAGCTATACATCTCAAACAGTGTTGTTATTACTATCTACCGCCGCAAGTAAGACAGCATTTACAATTCAGAAGACGAGACAAGGATAGGGCAATAATTTTAAATGTATAAAAAACACGAAGAAAGCATGATCTGCATAACATATTTAGTTTCAATAATAATAATAGTAATAAAACTATGAAGTACTGTTCTACACCTAAATATTAGGGATTCAATGATTCTAAAATATAAGGAGAAAATAGATGCATGTTTCTAAAATTTCTTTTGTCACATATGTGAAGCGCTAGTCCCGGCTCCTAGGATTTAAAGACACTTACTAGTGATTGCGTTCAGCCTTATGTAAAGAACATACAAATGTAGTGACGTTTGCACTTCAAAATACACATCTCCTGGCGTTTATTTAATTAATTCTGATTGTTCTACCATCCGTTGTAAATCTTAAGATTGAAAGGGAAAGTAGACAAGAGAACAAATCATAAGTTCGATCGTAGGCTATTGTAGACATAAAACGTAGTTTGCGGAATCACAGACCGTGACGAATGTAGTAAGGAATTAATGCCTTCAATTGTTTACGTTACTACCTTCATCTAACCTTGCCCCGATTACAAACTATATTAATTGCAGGTGTAATACAATAATTCATCTTAGTTTAATTCAAAATATTTCAGTAAATGTGTCGGTCAAAATAGACTAATAAGATCTGACGCGAACATATTAAATAATATGCATTTTACTTTGAAGTATATTGTATAAAATAGCCTTGTATAGTGAACTACTTGTGGCACACAAAGTTGGAAATCATTTAAAGAATGGAAATATAATGATACAAGATTGAGAATGTGTTTAATGAGGCCATAAAAGGATGTAGTGGGAAATTTCATTGTGACAATCTTTACCTACAGTGTATTATTTGCCATAAATGCGCAGTTCGAGTTGCGCAGTGCATTCTAGGTTGCTCTTTATTCTTGATTGTCGCTGCCCGCCCATCTCTGCATTTGCTAAGAAAATGTCCCTTTTCTTCTCCAACAACACGCCACTACCCGCAGGCTGCGCTCCTTGCACCTTGGCCCGTCGATCCGTCGAGTCCCTTGATCGCTGACAGGTAAAGGAACTCCAGTCGTTGAGCACCGCGAATCTACCACGCTCCCCGCATTTCAACAGGGAGGTTTTAGGTCTCGTAGTTTGACATCGGTGGCTCTATTACATCCTCACCTTCCTTGAGAGCGCAAGATCCCTCTAACTGGGGTCAGAATAAACCTCTGAACGCAATCACTAGTTAATGTCTCTAAGTCCTAGGAGCCGGGACTAGCTCTTCCTCACAGTGGAAGTGTGAATGACAGCGTGCTCCCGAATGGACTCCCGACACGTGTGGTAGAAAAGTGCGTGTAGGAGAGAGGGGGGCTAGAGTGGAATTTTTCCTTTCAGAATGATATAACTTGAATTCTTTCTCTAATTTAAAATAGGATAATCTGTGCCTGCTACATACCTGAGTATTTCATTGCTACTTTTCACTAGCTCTGGGGTTGAGAAACTGAGCTCGGCTGAAAAGTTATTCTCAACTTCTCTCCAAGGTTGAGACAAGTCCCAAGACGTGGCATTTCCCCTCAGTGTGAAATCAATTGCAACTGCGAGTCCGGTCGCAACTAGGGACCATTCTGATGAATCCTGACAGAATCAGGTTCGCATCGATCTCCCAACTACATTCTCTTTGGCACTAGCAATTCATTGATGTTTCCAAGAGCATAAACTCTTACGGTCGTTAGTCCCGTTGTGTGTGGTGAACGTTCTATCAAGGGACTAGTGACTCTTCAAATCCGGTGTCGAACTATACGTCGGTATACTGCATCTCCCTTAGCCGAGACAGCTTAAAGCTCCCGCCTGGTCTCCCAAAACCTGTGGTAGAAAAGAGCATGTAAAGGACAGGGGGAGCTAGAGTGGACATTTTCCTTTCAGAACGCTATAACTTAAATTCTTTATTTAATTTAAAATAGTTTAATCTGTGCCTGCTGCATACCTTAGTAGCAGCAGCTTTAATATTTTCTTTCTAAATACTTTTTAAATACATTTTTTGAAAACATTTGTCCACTCGAGCCCCCCTTAGGGTAACTCCAGTAAAAATACTCTTACTGTGTGCAGAAGATATCTAAAACATCAAGTTTTCCATGAAGTACATTTGAAATCAATATTTTAATATCAAAGTCAGTACTTTTCAACCACAAAACACACTTTCCACAATTACACAACGACCACTGAAGATCTACTGGCCAAACTTGGCTGGCTTAAAGAGCGCTGAGTGTCCAGGAATCTAGGAAATAATTTTGACAAATAACGTGTGTTACCTATGGAATAACCACATTTGTCCACAGTATCCTGCAGTCCACACTATACCCCCCTCTTCCCTAACTGTATGTGCGAGGGGAGACAACGAATCATGTATAAGGAAGGAATGATCGCGTGTGATCCGCAACTCTTTTGCTAAGGTACTGTTTCGGCGCCTACCTGGTAGTGATTCACGAGAAACCACGGAGAACTACCGATCAGAGTAGCCGATCGATGGAATTCTCCTCCAGTCAGCGGCTAAATTCATCCTGCTTATAAAACTAGTGTCAAACATCCGCCACAATCAGGACTCGAACCCTAGGATCTCCCGACCAGAGACACAGCAGAGACCACGGTAAAATTTCTTCAGAGCCATCTCAGCTAATGTCACAAACAATCTGGGTACGGCCAAGAAACTCAAGAAATTGGCGGGCTTTCAAATACTGTAACAGAGTTATAGTCCGATTTAATTATAGTAGCTTGTGACAGATCACGAGCTAAGACGCGATTACCGGGAGCATCAATACCAAAAAGTAAATTCGTAACGAAGCTCCTGATGAAACAAATGCGACCATTTGATGATCTGCCGCAAGTTACTATAATCAAATCGGATATTAGTTCCGGCACCTCACCTCCCTCTTGAGGGGGCGGGGCACTGCCTCACGTGGCCGGCCGCGTTTGCGCAGGAGCGCCTGCTGCTGTCTGTGCTGCCGCGCCACGTCGCCATGGAGATGAAGGCGGACATCGCGGGCAAGCCCAAGGACACCATGTTCCACAAGATCTACATCCAGCGCCACGAGAATGTCAGGTAAAGACAGTTGGAAGACACGATAATTAACAGCTCATGCACGTAATTTTAGGTAGTTAAATATTAGAGGCTTGTATTTCAGAAAAAGATGTATTTGTGAAGTGAATTGGATACTATTCTCACTGTTATTTTTAGATCATTCATATTAATAACATTACAAAATTGTCTCTTTTAGAGCATTTAAAAAATTTCAGAATTTTTGGAAAATAAAAAAAATTGATTTTAAGCAAATATGAAAGTGTTATAAAATTTGATAGAAAACTTTATTTCTGGTAAATTTCGCATATTCAATAACGTTTTGGGCAAATGTTTGCTTTTTAAATTATTGTTGTTTTATAAGACATAACTAAAGATAATATTTGTAGTTTTCTTGCCAAAGATTCTAGGCTTCCGGCATTCAGGCAGAATTTATTTAAACAACCCCATGTCGGACGTTCCTCTGATCGTTTTAGAAAGACGCGTTAATAGTTTGAATATGGATATTCGTAACAGCACAAACAATTAAATTATCTTTATCGTGTTGCTTTCTTACAAGCCAATAATTTATTTATTACTCATAGTATTAAAGTATCGTAGTTCACGAAACCCGAATCTTCCATAACATCATTTCAGAATATGAGATACGGGCACTTTATGCAAATGTTTAAGATCCCATACCCGCCACAGAACATTAACTTCAATTTATTGGTGTTTGCATACTTCTCATAAGACGCAACTTCTTTGCCCAGAGAATTCAACGCAGTCTAATTTATTCCACTTGCCTGGGAAACATTTCACATTTTAATACACTTGGGAAACATTTCACATCCCAATAATAAATTTCGATTAGAAAATAACCATTTTTAATTACCAGAATTTAAATCAGATTGGCTCGTTTTTTCATATCGGCTCATCGAATGACACGAAACAGTTTTTCGTGGTATTTATACAGTGCCCCTCTATTTGCTTTAAATGCATTTTTAAAAGATTTACAATTTAAATCGCAAACGATTCATTCTATCCACGCTCTATTTTGCTCCGAGTCCCCCTTCAGCCCCCCTCCGCTCATCCACGTTTTGCGCGCGAGAGTTTGCGGGAGAGGGGGTAAAGAGCAGCGTGGTGGGGGCCCCGGCGGTTGACGCCAGCGCTATCTTGCAGACAATCTGTAAACCTCGACGTGTGTATTTCCTCTGAAACGCGCTAGAGGTTTAGAAATTTATTTTTGTTAAACCGAATTTAATCAATCAATGTTTGCTGAATGTTTTAAATACTACGACCCTTTTCTGAATATAAAGAATGTCGTATGCAAAAATTTGGTAAATACAAAATTCTATAACGTTCACACTTTTTTAAGACATTTGTTTGGGTATACTAACGCAGATCGCAGTTCACTGTTCACTTTCTACCGATGCAGCGCCAAAGTACAGTTGAGCAACTTTACTCAAACCGTCTTGCTACCTTTGGGTAGAGACAGGTCCAGGCCATTGTCTTCTTCTTGTGTTGTAGTTTGCGCATAACCTGATCTCCATTGCGATACCCTCAATGAAACATTGATATAAAATGAGTTGGAAACACTCAAGGATGTTTTATATTAATCACGGTTACCCAAGGCCGGAACCTCGTCACGAAACTCGAACTCGCCAACCGAAGTATCAATGTACCTTTGAAGTGTAAGGTTTTTTAATACAATACCATTCCGCTTCTGGGTACATGTCTTTGGCTATGTTCTCGCCGTGCCCGGAAGTGAGCCGATTTCATTAAATTCGTTACAAAAATGAAGTAAGCGTTTATCCTGTATTTCTTATTTTTTGCGCCAACACCCAACACACACCACGCTGGAAACTTTGATTCTTATGAAATATCGCCTGCTGGTCGATATTATTTGTTTCCGGTGATAAAAATAGCTTTTTATAGGCGTTTTGCAGCAGGAACTTCTGTGACCTCCGCGACTTCCGCAGCAGGCAAACCGTTGAATCCGCAGCGCCAGGAACGTCATGCGACGTCTATCAAACGGTGTCAGATTTGTAGCAAGCTCGTTCTTTCACGACTGTTTTTATTAATCGTATATCGAGGTAACGTTTTTAGGATCCAAATCTTTTCAATAATAATTGTATTATTCAAGCACGTGTTCTACCTTTTCGTCAGCCTGAACTTGCCATACGAATAAAAGTTCCTGTTTTTGTCACCTCGCCTGCCCTTCGAAGCAACCGAGACCCTGAGAACAGATAACAGAGACCGTGATAGCAGCTGCACGGAGCACAAGTAACGACCGCAGGGCCAGTGTCGACTATCGCGCTTCGACAGTAAGGTCATGAAAGATCTCAATACTAATTGTCCCAAAAACCACTACTTATAATGATTCATAGCACTTAAAAATTGGTATGTAGGAGTTTTAAAATGCGCTTAACAAGCTGGTAAAATTTCATGCCAATCCGAGTATCCAGCATGGCGAATATTGCGTGTAAGATTTCCCCGATGAATGCTATCAGAGCGCGAGTTGATGTCCTCAAACAAATTAACATTGCGCTCAGGTGGAAGACAGATTTGCACTAATACCTCTCCCTATATAAATCAAAGGGGTTAACTACAACTACCCACAAATTGCACCATGACCAGCCAGTAAAAAATACGTATCCCCCCGCGATTGCAAACTGCGTGCTCAGTATCCCAATCGTGAACACGCAAGAAAAAAACGTGTTCGGCCATGGGTGGCCGTTGCGCTTGCAGCATCCTGTTCGCCGACATCTGCGGCTTCACCAGCCTGTCGGACCAGTGCACGGCGGAGGAGCTGGTGCGACTGCTCAACGAGCTGTTCGCGCGCTTCGACCGCCTGGCGGCCGAGCACCACTGCCTGCGCATCAAGCTGCTCGGCGACTGCTACTACTGCGTCTCCGGCCTGCCCGAGCCGCGCCCCGACCACGCCCACTGCTGCGTCGAGATGGGGCTCGACATGATCGACGCCATCGCGTGAGTGCACGCGCGTACACGCAGCAAACTCTTCGAAACACACACATCAGAACATATCCACATCTCCCAAACAAAGTCGCTGTTTCTACCTGAATCTGCTGGTCGAATGAACGGCTTCAAGAAATCAACAGATGCACAAGTGATTTCATACAGAAAGTTACTGTAGTCAATTGGAAAGCAGCCCGAATCATGTCTCTTTCACCATTAGTTTCACATTCAAAGAACGAATCGAAAAAACAAAAAAATATTTTTTTGGAGGTATCTGAAAATTTACGGAAAAACTTGATAAATTTATTGCAAGTCATTATTGCTCGAAAAGATTTATACAGTTGTAGTCTTCACTGAACATTATTAACAGGAAGGATTGGCCGAATGAACGGTAAGTAATTTACAGAATAACCCGTAATTTTATGCAGGATTAAGTAGCTGTGAAAATTTCAATTTTTTCAAATATTTCAACCACACTTCGATGGTCTTATTCATAATTCAAGTATGTATAGTAGGCAGTAACACAGGAACGCTGGAGCTGAAGAAAACAAGCACAATATATTTCTTCTTCATATCTCACATATAGGTTTCACTGTTTAATTGTATAGAGAAAGTACCCAGTCCAGTTTTGTTTATTGGTTAAATTTGTTAAAAAAAACGTTCAGCATTAACGAGAGAAACAGGAAAATATTTTATTATGATAAAACACATAGTTTTGCGAAATCGTATTTTCGAATAATCTTGTAAAAGATTTTAAAATAAAAAATAAGCAGAAATAATAAGTCCTTTACATATCGTATGTAAAATAAACCGGTGCAAAAACGATGCACCAAGGTAGAAGTTGCAACAATTATCACTTCCTCACCAATTGGTCAAAAACACATTACAACAATATCATTGTGTCAACTATAATATAATTGGATACAATATCCATACCATTAAACAAATAGTCAAAATAGTAATTTTCCAAAAAATTTTATTGATGTCCGACGATAAATAATATATTAAATATCATTGCTGCTGGTTGCAATGGTTATTGTTGGTGGCTAAATTACCATTGTTGATGTTTAAATAGCCACTGCTGTTGATTAAATGACCACTGCTGGTGGTTAAATGACAATTGTTGGTGGTTAAATGGCCATTGCTGATGGTTAAATGTCCATTGTTGGTGGGTGGTGCGCAGGCTGGTGCGCAACGTGATGGGCGTGAACGTGAACATGCGCGTGGGCATCCACACGGGCCGCGTGCACTGCGGCGTGCTGGGGCTGCGCAAGTGGCAGTTCGACGTGTGGTCCAACGACGTGACGCTCGCCAACCACATGGAGTCCGGGGGAATCCCCGGCCGCGTGCACGTGACGCGCGAGACGCTGGAGTGCCTCGGCGGCGACTACGAGGTAAGCCCCACGCCCCTCCCCCTGCGGGCCAGTCATGGCACCGCGAAAAAAAAAATCTCTCTCTTAGACACGCTTCCTTTTTGACCAACGATTCCGGAGTGTTTGACCACGCCCATGCGCAGGGTCGATCCTGGATGTTTGATATGCCGCAACGCACGAGTTCGAAAGTTCAAACTCTGGAATTAGCCGATCCGGTGTCCGAGATCGCTAAGGCAATAGTGCCGTAGCGAACTCGGACCGAAGGATCGCGGGTTCGAGTCCCGCCTCGGGCATGGTTGTATTGTGTTTCGTCCTTTCACCCCCTATCATCATCATTATCGTGTCAACCCACAGTTACCATACCGTTACAAGCAATAGTGGTCGCTAATGACCTAGTAGTTGATGCGACCTTAAATTAAAAAAAAAAAAAAAAAAACTGGAATCGTTCGTCGAAAGGAAGCATGCCTACCTGTTAAAAATCGGATGACGGATCAGAGATACGTCGTTATACTTTCAGGGCAGGTAATGTTATGTGGTTCCAGTATAGCAATATCAAAGAAAATCAAGAATATTTCAGTATAATTGATCAATAACGACATAAATGACGAATGAAAGCAGTTTTGGTTTTTCATTGTATATTTTATGTTGTAATTTCATAGTGTTTCAATATTGTACGTAGTCACTTTGTACGAAAATAAAAATAAGAATTCAATTAAATATCCAAGAAAGAAAAATGAATATTAATTAAACATTCATTTACTTTTGCATGGACATTCACTGCATATTTTATAAATTGGGAACAAATGCAAAATATTCTATTGATCCTCAGACGTAAGACATGTCAAAAACCTTCCACTTACATCTGCTAAAATTTTTACTAACGTCTGTGTTCCCTTCTTTATAAAAAGCAGCCATCTAACTACTTTTCTCTATTGCTCGACATGGTCTCATCATGCGCTTGGAACCTGTGACAGTTGATGCTCTTAGAGCATGATTACGCACTGGCGTGCGCCAATCGCGTAGCACCAGTTGACAGTTGCATAGATGTAATCGTTTTCGCACATGCTATATCTCGCCAAATTTTCTGACGAACGGTCGAGTGTAGGGAAGGCAAAAGTTTGCATGGACGGTCCCCCTAGGCCTTGTAAGATTGGCTCTGCCATCGAAGTTTTTACTGAACGACATTTCTGTCAATAAAATATTTTAATGATAGACCACAGAGATGCTCATCAAAATTCGATTCCCATAAATATCCATTCCTAAATCACTTACCCTAAATTTTGACTTTTAATGTGGCTGTAATTAAAGAACTAAGCACCTAACGTTCGAAACTGATTGTGAAGCCCGTCACCCACACAGGTCGTTAGAGACTCCTTGAAAAGCTTGTGGAGGAAATTAATCATAAAATTGGATCCCCGTCTACTACGATCTGGCGGCGGGATGATAAGCGAAATAAAACTATCAATTCCTTAAAGGAGTAATAACTGAATATTTGACCACTTAACTTTTCACCCTTATCTCAGGCACTTCTATGTAAATGCTGATTAAAAGGAATTATGTGACATCCCATATAAAAGACTTCCAATTTGTTCGTATCATATTCTCAAAATTCTAAAAAAAAATATTAATATTAACAAACAATCTTTTATAAAATACAAATCTATACCGCACACCCAGTCCTTTAAAAGGAGGAATAAAACGATTTAAGAGTTTATTAAAAATGTTATTATTGTAATTTCTTCAGTTGATCGGTTAAACGTTTTTTTATATTGTTTGTCTTTTCTTTCTTGAAAATTTACGTATTTATTTATTTGTTTCGTTCGCTGGTTCGTTCATTCCTTCCCTTATTTATTCAATGGATCGTTCATTCTTTTGTGTTGTGTGCGTGTGTTGCGGCAGGTGGAGGAGGGGCGGGGCGGCGAGCGCAAATCCTACCTGCCGCGACACAACATCGAGACGTTCCTCATCGTCCGGGGGACGCGGCGTTCGGCGGGGGCGGGCGGCGGCGGCAGCGCGCGGCGCCCGGCCCCGGGCGCCATGAACGGCAGCGTGTCCCAAGACTGCGGCATGATGGGCCACACCGCCGCCGCCGTCACCACCGGCACCAACAGCTCCAAGTCTCCAAGTGCAGTAGCCTTGCCTCGCCTCGCTTCGCCTCGTCCTCGGTTTCCTTCGGGCTCTCCCCAGCGCGAAGTGACAGAGATGCCTCATTGGCTGCCTCAGTTAAAAAGCGTTCTCTTGTCCTTAAAAACGAGTTAATCTGCCCGAAGTGAATCAATCTTTTAAAAAAGGCGGGACTATTGATTCTTCCATCTTCTAAGACACAATTAACGTTCGGCAAAACACCTCATTCATTGAGCTTGAAATGATAAACTTCACAGAAACAACCTATATAATGCAAAAGAAGATTTTTTTAGGGCATTCACATTTTGCAACATATACATTGTGTTACTCCTTACCACAAGATGTTCAAAGGCACATCAAAACTTATCATTTCATGTCATGGAATGTTCATGTCAAGGAATTTAATATTTTTAATAATCCCTCATTAAATGCGTTTTCTTAATTTTGTTACTCTCGCTGTGTAAACGCTTCAGAAGATATATGGGACAATACAAATTTACTTGCTACATTAATATACGGTAGATGTTTTAATTTACTTAAATTAAACAAAATTGACGTAAAGGTATGTTACTTATGTGTGTAGAAGGACAATTTGATTTGAGCATGGTTTCTTCAGCTCTCGAATCCTCATCAATGATTTTTTGGAATACTTATAAAAACCGGTAGCTATGAGCTTTTTGGGCAGCATTTGATAAGATAATCGCTCCAGCGTAATCGAAACTATTTACATCGGCAAACTGCTTCAAATTTTATTTGACTTTTTTTTTAATTTTACGAGCTTCTAATGAAACGATAAGTTTAAACTTGATACTGCATTATCAAAATTGATGCTAAACAAAAAACCAAACATGGTTTTCCAAAAAGTAGCACATACACTGCTCAAGAACAACAAATATAATACACCAATTATAAAACTACAATAAATTAAATATTTTAACAAAATCCATCTACATGAATACTGCAATAACACAGTTTTTTTACACACCAAATATCAAAAAGGTCGCTGTTCAATAACGCAACAATCGTATTACACATGTATAACACACATATATAATGCAACAACAACAATGAATCGTAAATATTTGATAGAGTTCGGCCTGTTGGCCTCTGCCTTAGTTCCTTGCTGTCGCATGACATCAGCACTGTCGCAAGGAGTGACGCATTTATAATAACAATTTACATCGTTACTCCCAGTATGAGAAAAGATATAATAAAATTAACAAATATTTCTATTTTCAGCCAAAATCGAAACTGTTTAATTGCGTGTTTATTTTTTTTCGAGTTCCCGTTTATCGAACGAAACTGCAGGTACCTCTCACATAGCCGAAAAACTGCATATTTTTCTATTTCTGAGCGCATTTGAAACTAGTAATAAAGATACATTACTATTTATTACTAAATAATATAAATTACAAATCAATATCACTATAGTAGTTCATGCAATTAGTTTATGTTAATCTTTATTGGACGATACCACGTTTCAAAAGGAGCGAGTTTTAAAATTTGTATGAATGTAATAAAGCAACATTGTCTCGCTGCGATTGGCTTAATGTGTGATGACGCAATCATCCGTGATGTAAAATGCCATTTTATGAACGATTTCTTACAACAGAAGAGATCGTTTATAATGCTGGTATACAAACAAATAATTTAAATACTAATCTTGCTGGAGAAGAATCTCCCTGAATCATCGAGTACGAGAGTTTCCTCGTGCACTAACAAGCTCAGTAGTCTACACCTGTTCAATCGTCCTTGTGTGCGTCTCTCTTCCATCGCGTCTGAGCATTACGGGCATTGAAGTAGTGATCTTGGGCTAAGTGCACACGACGGATCTTTTCGACATAACATTCCGTGCATGAAGTTTATTGATACGCGGGCAACTTGACATACACGATCCGCTATCCTCACTGACCCTCTCCTTGCTGTTGTTGACTGGGTCTCACGGCATGCAAATGGTTTGTAGTTAACCACCGTCACAATTTAGGTGAAAGATAAAAAAGTATTTGCATTGAAGGAAAAATGTTTACGCCCGAGTAATGAACGTTAGAAGCAAGAATATTTTACTTTCCATTGAAATGCTTAAATTATTTTTGTGATAAAGCAAAAACATACTAATTTAATACTGTAGTTTATTCAAACTGACTTAGATGGACCAGGTGATTAATGAATGTCATTGCAGTGCCTCTGATTGGAAGATCCTAGGATAAGAGTCCCGGTGGTGACAGGATTTTCGACATTCGCTAGATCGCTAGGTCGAATTCAGCCGCTGTCTGGAGGAGAATTCTAGCGACCAGCTTCTCTGATACCTAGTTTTCTGTGGTTTCTCCGAACAACGCCAGGCGAATGCCGGATCAGTACCTAAACAAACAACTCCCAGCCGCGCCCGATCTTTTCTTCTTCCACCTTGTTCTATCCTCACCCCTTATTTACACACGAACACGTGCGTGAACTTCCACACATGACAGGAGACCAGTCGGGAGCTTAAGAGCTTATCTTCAGTCTGGGGCGGTGCCCTGCTGGGTGGAGATTTGTGGTTAGAGAAAATCCCGCAAGCCGAAGTTCTAGGTCGACGCCGAGTCATGGCGGCGATAGTGTGACGGTTAGCGTATCGGACCTACCCAAATTCGCGGGTTCAAAACCTATCGAAGCCGTGGATTTTTAAGGGCGAAAAAATCCTTCGTACGCCTTCCTTCGGAGGGGGAAGTAAAGCCGGCTGTCCCATGTTTGTAGATTTACTTGCTACTTCCTCAAGCCTAAATGACGCCTCTGAGCTAAATTCAAATCGCTTGTTTCTTGCCCATGAAATACCTCGTTTCTCTGCTAGTAGATGAAAGGAGCGTAGCGAAAATTGCGTGGTCAGACGGAAGAGTGGGCCTGTTGGCCCGAGTCTTGCCACGTAAAATAAGGCAAATTCAATTCAATTCAATTCATTTCAATTCAATTCAATTAAATCTAACCATCCAGCGGCGCCACCTCCCGCGATAAAAAGCATGTGTCAATGACCGTGTCGACTGGCGAGACCCGAAACGCTCCATGAACGAAGCGCGTTGCGCAGGCGCGGGCTGAGCGAGGCGGCGGAGGACCGCGACCCGGAGGACGAGGTGAACGAGTACCTCAAGAGGGCCATCGACGCGCGCAGCATCGACCGCCTGCGCGCGCAGCACTGCCGCCGCCTGCTGCTCACCTTCCGGAAGGCCGAGGTCGAGGCCAAGGTAACACATTCATTTATTTATTTACTATATGTGTAAGCTATGACAATCCTGATAATGTTCACGTTAAAATAAAGATGCGCTTGAGATAGAAATATAAAACTACAATTGGGTAAATAGAAAAGAAGTTTGTATTCATTTCTAAGCTAAACAATTTTTAATCCAGAAATTTGGAGCCATTTTTGAGAAAGTGTTAAGGTTTCGTGAAGAGTACCACCAAAATCCAAATACCCGTTTCATACTCGCGGGATATCGAGTTCGTTCTGATCGATCGAAGAATATCAGTTTTGGAGAAAATATTGTGAACGGTTTATCCGCTAGCGTTCACCTCAGACTGACAGACGTTTTGCCGTCAATCGGTATGAAGAACACACAAAACACGAATTCAGACTGCACAACGTGTTAAAGGAAGTTATTTATTTATGAACTATATTCATGTATTTACTGGCAGGACAATCCTGACGGTATTCACGATAAAACAAAGATACGCATGAGAAAGAAATATAAAATTACAATTTCTTAAGTAGAAAATAATTTTAAAAGAATTTTCTTCTCTATTCTAAACAAAGTATGATCCAAAAATTTAGAGCCATTTTTGAGAAAATGTTGAGGTTGCGTGTAAAGTACGCAGAAAATCAAAATATCCATTTCAAACTCGCGGGACCTCGAGTTCGTTCAAATCGATCGGGGAGTATCAATTTTGGAGAACATCCTGTGAACGGTTTTTATGCACGAGCGTTTGACTTATGCACGAGGTTGAACATCCGGTTTTGTTGTCAGTTTTTTGATTTTTCGGTGGCGAAGGACCACAAAACGAGATTCAGACTAACTCGGCGGTGTTAGAGGAAGTAATTTATTTATTTATTTATTTATTAAGATATCATATATTATATATATATATAATATATATACGCAGGCATGACAATCCTGATAATGTTCAGGATAAAACAATTATACAGATGAAAAAGAAATATAAAATTACAATTCGATAAATAGAAAAAAATAGAAAAAAAACTGAAAAAGAAGGGAGGAGAAAAAATGCATTACATGCACCATCGAGAATCACCTGAAATATCTAGATCTGCCTCAAACGATCCATAATATAATACCGTGATAGGTAAATAGTATAGTAGGTAAATACAGACCACTAACACCACACATGTAGGTGACCACTAACAAGCACACATTCACTCGTGTCAAATTAAAAAATTGGAACTAGGGCCACTACGTCTCCGGGTTTGACCCGGAGTCTTCGGGTTTCAGTCGTTATCTCCGGACTCCGGGTTGATGTGGAATATCTCAGGGTAATACAAGCAATTAAACGACGATAGTTGCGCCGGGAAGCTTATGACATGCTGGTGCCGCGAAACGTGCACTATCATCAGTAGGAGACCTTGACATCACTGACTTAAAACTTTTAATGGGCTGTATGATATGGACGCAGTCTCTTGATTTGCAACATTTTGTAAATTGACGTAGATTTTTCTGGAGAATGCAGGGGCGTGGGTCCCAACAATTTTTTTTAATTTTACACAAGTGTATCTTTGCTTATAAGAAGTAAAAACAGCAAAAACGTACTTAGTGTTTTTGAAATAAACCATTTATCTTAATACGTCCGCTTAGCAAAGTAAATAAAATGTTTGAAGGTAACGTCAATTGTAATTGTTGCATTAGCTGAAGTTAATTGCAAATGTTGACGTTAGCAGTAGCAGTGAAGTTAGTCCCTTCATATCTGTGTCATAATTTGCACAGATAATTATAAATTATATTTACCCTAAGATTTTTCGTTAAAACGCGAATATTAGCTCTTTTATCGTCACCCTTGAACATTTACACAATTTTCTTATTGGTCACTGATGAAAATTACGTATTCGGAGACAATGACAATATTGTAACTGACAAATCCTATAACAGGGCAGAGATCTTTTTGCGGCTGTGGTAAATGTTTTTCGTTTTCAATGTTTTGTGAGTGAAAAATACCCATAATTATAATTTTCTAAAAGTTGAAACATGCAATAATAAATTATGGTACTGTTGTCCATTTATGTGTACGAACGCTGTGTGCACTTTCTTCATCGAGCATCCGTTGTCCTTGTTATTTTTTAATTGAGATTCGACAGATGGTTCCCGAGCAATGAGCTTGGGATATTTCGCCCAGAGGCGTTCTTCCCTATTACTGACCTCGATTGGACGCTCTCTCTAGTCTCTAGCGATATGGATTCAATCCAGTCTTCTTTCTTGTAATTCTGTATTATGTCATTAACCGTACTCTTACAAATATTTGACATTTCTGTTGTTTCTCTTTGGGTTCGGCCCTTAGCATGATGAACAATCACCAATTGGCGCTCCTCGAACGTAGTGTTTCTACTTTTGTGGTGCATCTTATATATGCTACTTCTGCTATTAAAACAATTACTGAACTTAAACTAATGTTTTGATTCATGATTTTAGAAGTTTTCATCCCACCACCTCATTGCAAAGACGGTAATTATTTCCAATCATGAAACACTCTTAGAATTGCCCGAATATTAAAATGAAGTTACATTCTATTTCCGAATTCTCAAGTAGTGATTTTTACGAATCATTTGCAATAAAGTTGTAAATGTTTTGTGTGTAAAAATGTTGTGCATTATAAGTCAATATGCACTTGAAATTAAGTCAGGAAGAGGAAAGAAGGCTTTGCCCGAATATTAATTTGACTGACTGTAATTCGTCAAGTTTCCAGGAAATCGTTGTAATTATCTGTTGGCGCTTTAATCGTTAATGGGAAAACCGACGCTCCCCTCGCTGCTTGTACATAGTTTCGTGAACAGACCTGCCCTAGATCATTGCGTTTTGTACTTGGTAGAGTAAGCGAAATTCTTTCTTAACATACCCTTTTTAAAATGTTACAAATTATCATTATTGTATAACGTATTTTTCCTTCTTTATAAATATAAAAGCATCTTCGGCAGCTCGAAAACATCAAATATTTCAATACAACCGCATTATACAGGTGCACCAGTACTATATACAACTATATACTAAGTTGGCCACAGCAAATATCTTGAAAACGATTCGAGATATCGAGATGCTATTTGCGCCACGCTGTTGCAGATGATGGGGCCAATAACATATTTCGTTTTCTAGTAATTACCGTATGTAATTTTAGAGATATTGACCCAACTTTGGTATTTTAAATGGAAGTATTGTTTTCGACATTCTAAAGCTATTTAAAAATAAAATGCTATTATATAAATATTGTTAATATTCGAAAAGTTATTATGCTATGCTGCAGCGCGCAAGATCAGTTGACCTTGCATGCTGCTTACAAATGTGCATCGCGATCGACGAGTAAAAACATAGAGCACATCACCTGAAATAGTGAATTTCTTGCGCGCTGCCTTTCTCGAAACCTTTAATAAAAGCATGTTATTTTGAATATTGGTATTCCCTTTATTTTTTAATTTCTCATCTTGTTTTGTATATTAAGAATACTTTCATTATTTTTTCTTCTGTTTTGAATTATTCTATTTGCTACTTTGCAATATAATTGTTACAAAATGATTTAATAAAAGTAAATAAATGTACCGTGGTTGCTCCTCAGTGTACACGTCTTTGTTTGTTTTTTGTTTTTGTTTTTTTTCAAATTTGCTCCCCAAATTTAGATTTAATAAAGATATTTAGATATACAACTCCACTGAAATCAAAGTAATTTCGAACACCCCTCCTTCCTTGCGCATGTAGAACTTGTGTAAATCAAAAACCGAGGTCATGAGCATTATCAATAACAGCATAGAAAGTCCCGTAATCGGCGAACTTTCTCGTTTTCCGACAAGGTGCGTCGACTGACGTATACGACGTAGGCAGGTCAAATGTCCTTGCACGCTAATGCACGGCGTTTACCAATTTATAATTGGGCTGTTTTTGCAAAAAAAAACACTTTTAAAATATAAACAATATTTATACCATTGCATTTCATGTGTAAAGTACTTGGTAGTGAGGAAGAAAAAAATTATACTTCTATTTTTTTTTAAGTTGTGTCAATATCTTTAAAATCACACACGGTAATAACAAGAAATCGAAATATGTTATTAGCCCCATCATCTGCAACGACATAGCGCAAATAGCATATCGATACTTCAAACTGTTTTCAAGATATTAACTATTGCCAACTTAGGTGGTCCAACCTATATATGTCAACAAGATTTTTAAAAAAAACAAAAAACAAATGGAAAGAAAAATTATCTGTCAGAATGCCTTGAGTTACGGCAACCTATGTAAGCCAACGTGCTCCACCGTGCTTTGTTCAACTACCTAAGCAAAATTGTCTGAGACTTAGACGAATGTTCAATCGCTGAAAATGGGAGGGAAACGCGATAAGCAAACGTGGAAGACGCCTTCAGGGAGAACGTCAAGGAAATTGCACATTTGGCGGAAGACAAAGCGCCTTCTCTCACTCGAGCCAGCCAGGAAGGCCGCCATTCGTCGCGCGAAAGAATTAGGAGAAACAAATGACCTTCGCGATATGAACGTAGCTAAAATGTTTACCAGTCAACTTCAGGTTGCCTCGTAATATTTTGGACAGGGGGAGGCAGCCAAACGTACTAGCGTTCAAAAAAAAATTAAATTGTTCTTATATAATATGAATATGGCATTGTGTGACTGATTTCGCCTTAAAATGAAATTATTTAATATTATGATGTTAAGAAAAAGTAGATGTAGTGGTAGTATCTTCAACGAATTGTTGCCCATAAAATTTTTAATTAGTTCTAGATTCTTCGATTTAATCTACAGTGTATATTCAACTAAATTAATTAACATTTTGTATTGAGGAATTATCGGGATTATAAATGATCCTTCGAGAAAGTTCGATCACTACTAGAGTTGGCAAACATTAACAAGTTACTCTTCCAATAGGTAACATTAACACTATCACTAACATTAACATTATCATTAACTTTCGACAAATTAGATGAACAAAAATAATTATTTTAAAAGCATGAATGTATAAATTGTTTTAGTCTCCATGGTTGCCATGTTAGATCGTCTAAGTGGAGTAGATCTACAGAAAACACACAGTGCTTAAATAAAATTTTTATTTAAAATTACAATCATTGTTTTTACTCTAATTACTAAAGGTAATCAGAAGGTCAATTGACTGGATTAGATAGTCTATCCCTGAACACAGAAAATACTTGCCGTAGATTACCCATGTTCGAAACGAAAATGTTTCCATTTAAAGACAATGAAATTCATATTATTCATATAAAAGAAAATTCACAAAACGGTGCTGTGATGTTAATAGTAGACACACACATGCACATGGCCGTGCACGTGCATTTTGTGCATGTCCTTACTCCCACATGTTCACTTGCTTGTGGCTATTTAAATTTTGCACTCGAAGGCCTTCCTTTTCTTTTCAATCTACAATACTACTGCCAATAAGTACTAGCAAAAAAACTACAAGTATTAAAAGATATTACAATATATAATAACTAGCAAATACTGACAAAATTCAACATTTTTTTCTATATTAGTTACCACACACATAGGCATTGCTTTCATTGCACAAGAAACAAATGAAAATGCACTTTCAATCAAATTAAAATATGATTCACGACAAACACGAAGTTTAACATGCACCGCAATACTAAACTTAATTTATTACATCAACCTTATCAGCAGTTCAATACATTTTACCTATTGCTATGTAAATAAAAGTTATAAACAACTCACAGTTTAAATAGTTGACGAACTGCCTCACACTAGTGCAGACTCCCCTGATAAATATTTAATTGGCTGTCCGGGTGACGCCACGTTCATGGCATAGGTGCCGACGTTTCGGTCGCCATTCTGCAACGTTCCTCAGGGCGTAATGCAGGAAGGTCGCAGAATGGCGACCGAAACGTCGGCACCTTTGCCACGGACGCGGCGTCACCCGGACAGCCAATTAAATACTGACTTCGGCCGCGAAAGACTACGCTCACCCCTGATCAAGCGGATTTTCTCCCACACGTTTGCTCTTGAAACACACAGCGTGAATCTTGTGCAGCACGTTGAAACGACACACAATGTTTACAACGAAACTTTTCAATTCTACAGTTAGAACTAAATAAAAATAGCAATTCCCCCCGCTGTATATGGCTGATGCGTGTCGCCCGACACTGACGCGGACTGCACAATTCGGTTCTGCCAACCAATGAAATTTCACAGCAAACAATTTTAAATGTACTGAATTTACCATGTACAATTTTAAATGCAATGAATCTTGTGACCCGTTCATTCAATTAATACAACGAACAACCATTTAGAGAACGCGTCATCATCGTATGTAAACAGAAAACAAAAAAGCAACCGTTCTCAAAGGGTTCAGGTTTACGCATAATGTCCTATCAGCCGATTAGAACCACCGAGTTGTATTTTTAGTTTGACAGAAGATAATGTACTTGTATGTAGTAAAATTTTGTACATATCTTAAGGATTGGGATGGTCATTATTTTTGGCGAATTTGCCATTTTTTCGTTCTTACAATAAATACTTAAAATGTGAAAAGAATAGGGGACATTTTCAGAGCGATTAAACAATATCAAATGGTGCCACTCATCATTGAAATATTTCAGAGTAGTTTTTGGAAATTTTTGTTGTTTTTTTAAAAAGTTTTGTAACTGTGCATATTCGTATTAAAAGACCTTACATTTGAGTATTAAACTGAAGATTCCTCACGCTTAAATCCGAAAAGACATCAAACTAAAAGTGTTTTTTAGCTGTTTTGTTTTCCGTGGTTTCTTCGATCAATACCAGGCAAATGCCGGGGCAGCATGTTTGCTGTAAGTGACCACGAACCCAGCGCGATACTTCTTTCTTTATCCTTGTTCCATCGTTTCTCCTTTTACACACAAACACACGCATTAACTTTCAAGCACTGCGACATGTGTCTAGAGACGAATTGGAAGCTTAGAGCTTGTTCCAGCTGGGGCGATCCTCTATTGACAGGGAGGAGAAAAACCGAATTGTAGGTCGGCGCTGGATCTCATGTTCTTATGAGGGAAGAACACCGTCATCTCCTGGGGTTTTACATGCACTACACTTACGTGACTATTGACCGTAGCAGTTGACGCCCCCATAATTGCAAAATAATCAATTAAAAATTTTAAAGAGAGGCCAAAGAAAGTACGGCTGTATGGCGTTCGTACACAGCATAAGTATAATGACAAATCGAATACCTTCATATAACATTATTTTCTCACGTATAAAAATGATTTCCAAATTGTTTATATAGATAAAATAACACTTCAAAAACTTTTTCCAGAGAGAAATACATCGAAATAATGTGTGGAAAGGTTTTATTAAATTACTATAAATATTGGCACTTATTGTAATTCTTTGTTTTAATTACTTTTAATTCAACGCCAATAACGAAGCGCTGTACAACTACGTTTTCATTTCTGAGTTGATTAAACAAAAAATCTATTTTTACTTTCCCGTGTACGTACGTATATACGGAGCAATATACGTAGTACATGGAAATATATGTAATGCTGCTAAAAATCGATTTCGAGATTTCAACGGAAAAACAGTTTTTGTGGTCCCCTGATGCCGAAAAAGTGTTGGTTTTTTTCACATCCGTCTGTCCGTCTGGTGTCTGTGAACACTACTAGCGCCTAAACCATGCGTAGGATTTTTTCCCAATTGAGGAAACCCGTGTCGATCTGGCTCGAGTCAATTCTTTGAGATTTTGAAAAAAACATTTTTTTTAAATTGGGAGGTACTTTACATAAAGCCCTCCGGACATTTTCAAAATTTTCTCAAAAACGGCTTTAAATTTCTTGCAAGAATATAGACATATATACTTATAAAGATGGCATAGGTCCAATTTCCAACGTTTACTGTGAATTTTCGAAAATTACAAAATTTTTCGGACGTCTTCTTACAATTACAAAATTGAAGATAGAGATTTTCCTTGAAATATTTTTTTTCTCTATAGTGATTTCTTTCATTAAGGTCATGTACATTATTTTTAAACATTTAGTAGTTTTCGGGCAATATTGCGAGCAATACGTGCAATTTTTTTCTTAAAACATTTGGTAGGGATTGTGCACTCTGTAAGATGACATAAACGACATATTGTTTTAGTTTTTAGTTTTTTTTAAAAAGTACAAAATTTTCATTTTTTGACTCGTCTCTCACGTTGTTCATATTTAGATTAGCGGCAATTTCTTTACATTAATGTATTTATAAGTACATGTGCTTTAAATAATGTGAGATAAAGTTTCCTGAAAACTCAACGGTTTTCCGTGAAAATGTGCTAAAATTCTGCATATTCATAAACGGTCAAACACCATTTTCTCTAAAACGGCTCCAAATTTTTTCTTCAAACGTTTTGAACATATAGTGCTAATTGTGCTATTTAAGATGACGAAGAATTAATTTTGCTGTATTCATTTGTTTTTTAAAAACTTACTGAAATGTAATATTTTTGAATGATCTCTCACGCCTTTAATATGCACATTTTTTAAAATTTGTAAATATATGTAACTGAAAGTACTTGAAATTACGTCATATAAAGTTTATCGAAAACTGAATTGTTTTCTGTGAAAAAATGTTTCGAATTTACAGTAGTGCTTAAATGCCATTTTCTTAAAAACGGCTCGAAATGTTTAAATGAAAATGGCCATTTTGGACGAGGTTTTACTGTTCTTTAATATTTTTAAAGTAATAACTCGATTCTACTGTTGTAAGCCGAAAAATTAAGAACATTTCAAAAAAATGTACTTTGGGTGGCGATGGATGGCAGCTGACAAGAGTATGTGGCAAGACCGAATAGCTATCCGAGACCAATGGAAATTGACAACTAATACGGGAAAGTATTTTCCATTTTGTAGCAACACTCGTTTTTACATTTTATGTTAGATTTCAGTAAGCAGAATCATCCAATGTTGTAGAAAGATAATCGACAGCGTAACCACTAATTAGTGGGTCCTTATGAAAAAATTTCCTATATGCTCCTCGTTGATATTTTTATTTTTTATAGCGCCTAAATTTGCTGTAGAGACACCGAGACACCGAGAATAATCTGTTTCTTTCGATCTACCCTATCCACTCCTCAGATTTCCGTCCTAAAATTCGTAACTGGGAGAACAATCGATTAAACATTGTGTCGCAAACCTTGAAAGATAATTTTAGGTCTCTGCAAACGATTTCTTTGCGAACAATTTTTCCTCCACAAAGTGACAATTCCATTCCCCGTTCAAGAAAACGTTTATTACATGGATTTTAATATTGTATTAAATACTGAAAACTCGGAAATGATGATTATTGAGGTGTATTTCGTTAACATAATTTCATAAATTTCTTGTGTTGCAGTACTCAAATGAGAGAGATCGCATGCTGGCCACGTACTTTTTCTGTTCGATGGTGATCTACGCATCTGTAGCAGCTGTGCAGCTCATGACAGCTCCATGGTAATACCAAAAACAAGTTGCTTCTGCGAACCGGTCAAAAAATGGTTCATGTCCTTAAACGGGCTCTTCTATTTTTTACTCAGCCAATATCATTTTTATGAATACTACACCGGTGGGGTACCAAGTAGTGGTAACTTCGATGTCTCGTTCAGATAGATAAGTCACAGTGCTATTAGTTTCATAGCTGATAATGGAATGCACATCGAGGAGTTGTGGTACGCGACAGTATGCTAGGCAGTCTAAAGAAAGAGTGCCATGGAACAGATGACGAGAGTGAAAGCACCCTCACAATGTTAGAAAGCACCCTCACCATGGTTAGAAAAGACACACAATATGCCACAAAACGATATTACACACTCTAGGTTCCTGAAAATTGCAAGCGCATGAACTCACTCTGGTGCAACAGAGACATCGTTATTCCTTGCAAAGGAATTACTGAATATCCACAGTACGGATGATAAAATACTCTAATGGATAATCAATATAGTATGCGAAATACGAGATCGGTCAAATTAACGATTGACGCGGGAATTCAATGAATGGAAATGCCCAAGTTTTCTTCACCCCCACAAAACGCGCTAACTTCACAAGGTGATGAGCAAGTTATGTTTGTTGTCACCCCTATTATATATCCTTGAGGTATTTTATCATAATGCTGAACCTCATAGGTAGTCAATGCATACTATTGCAACTTCATACAACGCTATCTTCTAACCGCTCTCAGAAGAAAGCATACGAACTGGAAGTGGGAGTTACACAACAATTCAGCATATTCACCCATTACGAGTCCATACGATTATAATATTTTCGCGAAAATGAAAAAAACATTTCACAGGCAGCACGACACAAGAGAAACTATCTTTCGCAGCGTAGGGCGGTCGCCTTCCACACGTGAGACTATGACAGCGGTGGTAGGGGAGCTAACATTAAAGAAATAATAAATGATCTTCGGAGACTAAACCCTTCCTTGGATTATAAAAGTTTTGCCACTTCTTTGATTCTACCTCTTGTAAGGAGAACGTTGAAAGAACACTCCAAACTCTCGAAACGATTTCACATAAGCGAATCACCTGAACAAAACAAAATTACTTGCTTTATTGAGTATTTATATAGTATGAATATTTATATCCGATCACTTTTCCTCGGCATCTGTAACATCTTAATTGTAAAATCGTTTGTAATTGTATTTGTATAATCTTAATTATAAAATCGTAATTGAATGGGTGAAAATCAGAAGGTTATAAGTGACATTTTACAATTTCTGAGAAAAACATATTTATTTAAGGCTATATTTCAGTGGCAATGTATTTTCATGGTTTTAATGAACAACTGAAATGTCGTGGTTTTATTAATGAAACAAAACACCACGACTTTACAGTAATATTGACTCAAATAAACAGATTTCTCTGAATATATAAAATGGCACTTATACCATGCTGATTTACACATTCAATTGTGCATTAAAGTAATTATAACAGAAGATAATATCCTGATTAGTTTCAAATTTGTAACATTTTCGCGCCGCTTCTGCAACTAAGAAAACTTGTAACGACAAGCTTACTCTAACTGCTCACCATTATCCATCATCTATGTATTGTTTGCCACTGTTGCGTAATCTCCAGAAGAGTCTGCGATCATTGATTACTATTTTGCTTCCGTGTAAACTGAACCCAACTCACGGTTACTCTTTCATCACTAGGCAACCGCTTGATAAATATTCATTTCCGCGTCATGAATACGGATTCACTATTTGACCTTCAACACGTTGTTTTAAAATGCATTGCCGAAACAAGCTTACAGAGTGGTATGTAAGGTCAACCTAGTGAATTTATACGACACATTTTGTTGATGTGAAATCATATGTTTGATGTGGTCCGCACTCTGGGGCTGATGAAGGCTTTAGGAAAGGGGAAAGCAAAGGGGGATCACTATTTGTGGAGTAGAAACAAATTGGAGCTTGCAGCAACATGTCCCAAAATATTTACACACATTCACTATGTACATTTGTGTCACGTGTCAAGCGAACTATAAAAATCCAGCGCGAATGAAACTTTATTTGTTAATTTATTTCACGTTTCTACAATTGAAAATCACAAAGCCAACTTGAAAATGAGTTTCATCCACAACAGTGACTTCAGTCCGCCGCATTAATAAATATTACAAATTCATTACTAAAATGTGCATTTATTACGTAGAAGTTTCTTTGTTACATTGTAAAATTACATGGAGTATCCAGTCGATATTAATGAAACAAGCTCGGTTTAGACATCACAATGAAACAACTTTGATGTGGTAGCCGACTGCCACAAAGACGATACGAGTTTCATTATGAAAAGTATATTTTTCAAAATTTTATCAACGACGTTTAAAAATACATTTTCGTTGAATTTCTATAGTAAGTGTTCCAGTGTGTTTTAGATAAGATAGTAATGCTGTTCGTTAATTTCCAACGCCTTTCAATTGCCTTCTAAAAGAATAGTATTAATGAAGTTCTTAAATAACAAGAACTTTAATAAATCCACTATAGCACTAGTGCTATAATGAAGCTTGCAATTGTATCCGTATGAGTGCTTTATTCAAATGTCATTACATTGTCGTGTATTGTATTTATTTATGCACTGAGTATCGTAAGACAACATGATACTGAAGTATATCCAATCCAATAACGTAATGATATGTTATGATACACATATTGTACATTAATTTGCTAAAATTCCAACACACTATAATTGTCGTTTAACTATTTCGTCTTTAAGTTGGCAAAACTCTCAGAACAAATATTTTCAGGAAACAAGAAAAATATTATGTTATGGAACTTAATATATGAACGTCATAAGTAGGGGGCGAATTTTGATGACCAAAAACATTGCCAAGAATGATCAATAAAATGCTCTTAAATGCTTTAAAATGCCCTAAAACAAATAAAAATGACGTAAAAAAACTTATCAAAACCACTTCAGATGAACAACTCAAGCTGTTGGGTACGTTACTGATGTAATCAAGGCTTCTTCCTGGACTCAGCCTGCAAAATTTTGGTTTGGACTGTTGTTTAAAAAATCTCTACCTTTATTTTTCGCGAAATCGGCTGAACCGACAATGGCGCCGATAGGCGTCACAGGAACCATAAATCACAACGGCTGACACTACAATATACGTGCGAAGAAATCTAACAGGCTAACGTCCAATTGACACAGGGTTTTTGAAATTCTCCTGCTCCCATGGAAGCGCGTTTCCCTCCTCCCCTCTGACACCGCAGTCCCTGGCAGAGCGCCCTCGTTTGCAGGACAGCGTCCCTGTACGCGACGCTGGCGGCGGGCGCCCTCACCGTGAGTCTGGTGAACGCGCTCATCCGCTCCGAGAACAAGCAGGTGAGCGCTCACCCACGCCGCCCTCCCGCGCGGCCACGACACGGGGTGCCACAGAGCTCCCTTGCAGAATGGATATGCTTGTGCGTTCCCCCCTTTCTCAATCTTTTCTCTCCTCTCCATCACTCCCACGCACATTCACTGTCGCTCCATTGCTTCCTTTCACTCGCCTCTCACTCCCTCGCCCCCTCACTTACTCTCATCCTCTCTCTCTCGTACACTATCGATCTCTCACTCAATCTCAACCTCGCCCTCACACTCCCTCTCATGCACTTAATCTCGCCGACTCGCTCCCTTTCTACCTTTCTCGTGTACACTATCACTCAGTCTCACCCTCTCTCTTTCATTCTCTCACTTACTCTCACCATCTCATGCGTTCCGCTCTCATTCACTTCTGCTCTCTCATTCCCGCTCACCCTCTTACTCTCCCTCTCACTCGCTCATTCATTCTCTCCTCACTCGCATTCACTCACACTTACTCTTGCTCTCACACGCTACCTCCCTTACTTTCTCACTCACCCACTCTCGTCCGCCCCCTCACTTGTAGTCACCCTCTTACTCACTCTCATCGACTCATTCACTCTCACCCTTCTTACCTCCCTCTCTCACTCTCACCCACTCACACGTGAGTGAGAGTGAGAGTGATGTCACCCTCTCTCAATTTCATCCATTCTTAACTTCTCTCACCCTCTCTCTCTTAACTTCTCTCATCCTCTCTCACTCTCGCTCTCTGGCCCCTTTACCCTCTCTCACTCGCCCACTCACACACACTCCCTCTATCTCTCCCTCTCTGTCTCTCCCACCCTCTCGCTCGCTCGCATTCACTAATCCGCTCTCTCTCTTACTACCTTTCACTCACCCTCAGTCTCTCTCCTCCTCACTTTCTCTCGCCCTTCACTCTCTCTCTCGCCCGCTCACTCCCACTCACCCTCATTCTCTCTCACCTCACCTTACTCGCTCTGCCTCAGTCGCTAAAGCACTCACACTCTCCCTCTCTGTTTCTGACACTCACTTTCTCTTCACTCGTATTCACGCACACGCTCCCTCACTGACTCTTTTACTATCGCTGTCTCTCTCACTCTTGATCCCTCGCTAACTCAAGTATAATTGAAGGGTATCTTACAAGATCCAAACTCGTCCAGATTTTTCAGGAGGTATCAAAAACTTCATAGCATAAACGTGCGTAGTAATGATGAATACTTTTCCCTCGCCTTATATCGTTCGATGTGTTTGGCACTTGCCGAAAGGAACTGTTCCAGCAAATAGCGCCAGTCGTAGGGAATAACTTGGTGAAATATCTCCAAAAAACGGACGTGTTTGGTGCTCGTTAGAGACCGTCCTCGCGCTGCGATGGGCGTGGGCGTGGCTGTGGCTGAGCGCGCGGCGCGGGGCGTGTGCTGTATTGCGCAGGGGGCGCCGGCGGCGCTGCGGCGGGCGGCGGCGCGCGTGTGCCGCCAGAGGGCGCTGGCGCAGGCGGCGTCGGGCGTCGTGCTGCTCGCCACCTATGCCGCCACCCTCGCCCCGCTCGTGAGTACACCCCCTCCTTCCAACGCCCCGAATCTTCGCTCGACTTTCCGTGGATTAGATATCACTCTGGTGGTTTAATTTTACTCGTTTCTCATAAAAAGATAGTTGTTTGCAAACGTATGTGTACCCAAACATTGATATGAAGTTTTCAGCATATTTGAACTAACCTGACAAGCATGTCCGAATGAATTTTCTCAAAACGCTTTAAATTTGTTGCACAATAGAATCGATGTGTAGGAACTGTATCATGAATAGGAAATCTGAAAGAAGAGCATTAATGAACCAATGTCTACGGAATAAGGAATGGCAACATGAAATACCTTCTCCAAAATTATCAATTCTTGAAAACTAAAATCCCGCTTCTAATATTTTTTAACACAACAGGTTCCGAAAGTGTCAAGGATTCATTCAATATTGTTAGCCTGATCAGGCCATTCTAGAGCAAATAACGGACGCTGTTGAACTTTGTGAAGCCAGGCAATATTCGGAGGTTATAACCATATCCGTAATTTTTGATACCGACCATGTATCGTTCAAAGTGTACCCAAACATTGATGGCTGATTATGCCACGATATGCCACGACATAATGCCACGATTCATAATTGCGTATAAATAAGAAATGCATTTTCTTTTAATATAAATACTCATATGCCACCTTTATACTCCACTCACGAGTTTCATTTGCCGACGGCGGACTGTTAAATTCCGTAACGAATGTCGGCCGTGAAAGAGTGTCTTTTCTTCCTATGTTTTATTGCGTCATGTCTATATAACATTAGTGTTACGAAAGTGAATGAACTTATTTCATCCAACATCGGCAACTTGCGCCAATCGGGGCGTCGCCTCTCGTCACCCATCACTTCCGCCCCCGCCTTGCCACGCGGTAAAATCTGTTGCTCTTCCTCACCTCTCTCGTTCCACCCACCTCTTGCGTTCGTTCCAGCCCCTAAATTAGGCGCAATAAACCAACATTTGAAGTTCGTTAACAGCTTCTCAATGTGCTAAGTGGGTATATGCCGAACTAAAATGGTCACCGTAGGCTCCAACCACTCTGATGCAGCAACAAACAATTGAAAGGGTCTGGAAAGACAGTGCTAAGCCACATCTAAGTAATTTTTCAGCCTGAGGAAAAACGAAGTATTTGTAAAATCAGACGACTGACTCACGTTCTGTATACACTTCTTGCTACTTTCTACAGATATAGTGTTGTGTAAACACGTGTGCACAGAGTATCAGTCAAAAAGTTTGTTTTTAGAAGGCATTCTAAGATATTTAGTTTTGATTTATGAAATGAGGATTAGCCTCACCTTCCTCCATTTGTACTTGCTAGACTGGCCACGGAAGTCTACGATTTCAAGGTAAACATAGCAAATGTTTAGCAGGATTGCGTTAACGCTTAAATACTTTTTCGGGATAAATGCATCTTTAATAGTTGTAGTTTTCAAAGAAAAGATTTACACTATGATGCATTTCAAATTCTCTAAGTAGTACATTTTAAGTGTAAACATGCATTGAATACCTGAAAACATTGCGGGAAATTGTAGAGCATTGTAAACTAATTCGGCAGCTAAGATTTATCTCATTAAACATCTAATTTTCTGAGCATTTTCTACAAGGGCTCGAATTATTTCCAGTATTGAGAACCCCGAGTTCTTACACAAGCAAGATAGACCATTTCTTTTTTTCTTTTTTCCCTTCCCTACCTCGCCTTTCTCATCTTTATTACAACCTACTCTACCTACTCCCTACCTACTATTATCCATTTTCTCCCTCTACCTTCCCATTTCCTCCTTCTGCTGTGCTCTTTCTTTCTCTCCAAAATTGCGACGACTGACTTGTGTTGTGCGTTGAACAGCTGCTGGACCCGTGCGTGCCGGGCGCCGCGACGGCCGCCGACGTCGCCTCCGCCTCCGCTGACGCCAACGCCACGACGTGGTACGCGGAGGCGACGCTGCCCGCCGCCCCCGACGCGTCCGACGCCACCGTCACCGCCCGACACGCACCCTGCACGCACAACGCTTACGTCGCCGACGTGAGTCCATCTCTCCTCCATCCTTGTTGTTTTTATTTTGTTTATTGATTTATATTGGTTGTACATAGGTCAGTTTAAGTATCAACTTTACATATGTGTGAAAAGCTTACGTCGTAACTTATATTTGAAATTTAACTCTAAAACGTAAAACTAATTTGAGGTTGAGGATGCTCTAATAGTTCATCTACTCAAGTTCGAATTCGGAGAAGGTTTGTGGAATATATTGAGGGGTACTTGTTTTTTAATCTGATGTGGTTAGGATTTTTTGCAAGTCTGAAGGTTGCAATGTAAGGCATTTTGGGTAAATAATAGTAAACTTTAGTAGCTAGGTATGTGATGTGATGTTCAATGGATTCTAAGTTGGATTCTTTATGAAGCTGATGATTCCTTCTCTTTCGTCTACCTTCCATTGGTCAAAGTGCACGTTCTGTCTAGTTTTTCTTATGCCTCCCTCTTCTATTTTTCTTCGTTTTCTTACTTCTTCTATTATCTCTTCTCTAAACATTTCTCATTCACCTTCTCTTATTTTATCTTATTCTCCATCTATCTTTCTTGTTTGTTCTTTAATTCATCTTTTCCTGCCTACTTCCTCCCACACTACTCTCTCTTCTTTGTTCCTTCCGCACTTTCCTCTCTTCTTTCACTGTCTTCACTGTTTTCTCCGAGCATCTTTCTTTCTGATCTTTTTATACATTGTATTATTTGTTTTTTCTACCCTTTCTTAACACTCTTCTCTCTCATTTTCTTCCCCGAACTACTCGTTTTTCTTCTCTTTATGGTCTTTTCCACTTTCTCCCTTTCGTTCCTTCCACAATTTTCTTCGGTCTTCATTCTTCTCCTCCTTCGTCATTTTGCCTTTCTCATCTTTCGTACCACTTCCGTCTTCCTTCCATTTTTCACACCCTTCACCCCATTTTCTCCCTATACTATGTTATTTTTTGTCCTTTTCTTTCTTCTCAATTTTCTTCCTCTACTCCCTTTTCTGGTCTCTTTCCCTACCTTATATTCCTCACATTTTCCACAATTTGTCTCTTCTCTCTTTTTGTTGGTCTTCCCTCCTATTTCTGCTCCTAATACACATCACCTTCCACTTCCCTCCCTATTACTGCCAAACCCAAATTTCTCTCATTTTTGCATTTATCTTTATCCATTCATCCATCCTTCTAGATTCTTCTGTATCTACTTCATTACTTTCTACAGAAACTCCATTGATTAGCAACGATCACGAATCAAAAACTGAAACATTTCAGCGAAACGGAGGGTGAACTGAACAGCTGTTCGTGCGTGTGTGTGCGCAGTACTTGCCGTTCTGCGTGCTGCTGGTGATGGTGCAGTGCGCCGTGCACCAGGTGCTGGTGACACCGGCCAAGCTGCTGGCTCTCGCCACCATCTGCGCGTCCTTCCTGGCGCTGACGTCGCTGCTGCCGCCCGCGCCTGCCCCCGCCACGCCCTCGCCCGCGCCCACCGCCCCAGCGCGCGGGTCAGTCGCCTGCTTCCACAACACCTTCCTCTCACCCACACAACCAGCGGCCGCTAACTGCAGCAGTGCCCGTCACGTCGTTGAATACCTCTCTAGGAGTGGGAGATGAATTTTTTGTACCAACCCTATTATAGTAAACTCTCATTAACGCGAATTCCAAGAGACTGAAATAATCGGATAAAAATTCGTGTTTTCCGAATGTTATAAATGACCGTATTGCAGTAATTCTTGCTGGGGCCCAAGTTTTGTTCGTGTTAGGGCGGAATTCGTGTTAAGCTAGTGGGGCTAACTTTTAAGTGCTAATGAGGGTTTACTGTAAGTACACAAAGGTTGAGAATTAATGTTACAAAACTCCCAGGATATGTAGAAGCGGTGGCGTATTTATCAATAGGCAAACCAGGCGCATGCCTAGGGCGGCAAGATTTGGAGGGGCGGCACATATTCAGTGCAACTTTTTTTAGATAATGATGTTCATTGAATCTTGTATTAATTTTAAAAATACAAAATGTTTATGTAAAATTTTACCCCTTTTTATAATGTTTTTAAAGCTCTGGGAAAAATTCGCCGCAGGATTTGCTCCAGTTTCTTCGAAAAACTGACCTTCACACATTATTTACAAATGTTTGTATCGCCTTGTATGTTTATGTCACCCTATGTGTACACCTATTTGAAATTGTTCGGCTGAAAGATCGGTTTTGTGTGTGTCAAAAACTACTTAAGATCAACAATGGCCGAAAGTAGATTAAATTTACTTTCCATTTTAGCGTAGAAAAATACATTTTACTTCACATACTCGTACATTGGGATATTATCAACAAATTAGCAATCGAAAAGTAATTATTATGTTACATTACAATACATTAATAATGTATTATTAAAACCAGTATCAAAATAAAATACAATACAATTTATTTGTAACTATAACTGTATATTTTCTGGCTTGCAACATTAAAATTAAAATTCATTAAAGTAATTAGAGGGCGCCAACAAATATTTGCGTAGGGCAGCAAATTTACGTAAATCCACTACTGTTTCGGGGAATCAAATGTAGTCACTTGTCGCCATGAGCATGAGCTGGAATATCCCGTGTAATCATAGTTGCGCAGCCTACAAGGAGGTGCAACTACATTATATTCTTCAACTTTTCGTTTAATCTTTTGCATTTACTTATGACAATTCTTTATAATAAAGTTTAAAATGATCAGAGATTGCCCTTAATAGCCGCAAACCAATGCTATTCGTTAGCCGGAGAATTTCACTGTGGGATCAAAACGGGGAATCCCAGAATAAATTGCAAAATAAAAGGAGAAACAATTTGTAAATTTAAGAATTACTGTTACAGGTATTTAGCGTGTTATTTGAGAATAAATAAATGAAACGAATTCAATTCTTCCGTACGAGTTCTTTTTTTAAGCCGAAAAAGCATCCGTGGTGCATGTGTGTGGGTGTTGTGACAGGGCGCAGGGCGCGGAGGGCGAGGCGGAGGCGGAGGCGACGGCGGCGACCGAGGCGGCGGCGGCGGCCGCGGCGGCGGCGGAGGCGGCGGCGGGGCGCGCGCTGGCCGACCTGCTCCTCGGCCGCTGCCTCACCGCTGTACTGCTGCTGGGCTTCCTGGCCGCGCTCGTGCTGCACTCGCTGCAGACGGAGGCCACCTACCGCCTCGACTTCCTCTGGAAGCTGCAGGCCACCGGTGAGACCCCTTCACCCTGCCCGGTCGCCGAAGTTTCCTTTCCCAATCCAGGCATGGCAAGGTTGCGGACTAGGAAGCTAGCGTACTTGAGTTCGCGGTCAACTTCCTACATTCAGGTTAGGAGGTGACAAGGGTTCTTGTCTATTAAAAGAGCTGACGGTCCGATGGAGGGTATTGTTTTCTTCTATAAGTATCTCTATAAGCGTCTCTATAGACGTATTAATTTATTTCACATTATTAGTACAGACAATTGTTAACTGAATGGTATAATAAAACAAAAACAGGGAAAAATTCGCCGTTAATATTCCTGCCCTTGACGAAAATGATTATACAAGACGAATTTTAAAAAATTGACTGATTGATTAGTGATTCCGAGAGTGTCAAATTCTAAGGTCATTATGTGGTACATATTTTTATGACGGGAAGTGGCGGTGATCTTCCCTGGTTGATGATGAGATCCAGCGCCAATCTATATCGGCTTGTGTGGATTTTCCTCAACCAAGTATCGCCCAAGCCAGGAAAACCTCTAAACTCGCAACTGCTCTCCCTACATGTGTGGTAGTGTAGTGCATGTTAGTGTAAGTAAAGGGTGAGGATACAAGGAAGAGGAAGGAAACATCGCGCGCGGTCCGTGGCCCGTTTCTTAGGGTACTGCTCCGACATTCATCTGGTGTTGATCGGAGAAACCACAGGAAACTACCCATCACTTCAACCGACCGCTAGAATTCTCCTCCAGAGAGTCACCGGTCGGAAGCTTAGACGCTAGCACTGGCTGCGGCGGTGCTGCGCTGATGGGATGTGGGCTGGGGAAAACCCAGTTTCCCGACGGTAGGTCGACGCCAGATATCGCCATCCAGCGGGGGAAGACCACAGCCGCCTTGCTAGGAAGATCATGCACTACACTTACGTGACCAATGACCATAGTTGACGCGCCCGGAAGCATTATCAATCAATCGAGTCTCCAACCCTCCCAATCAAAGGCACTGCAGAGATATCAGTTGATGCCCTGAGCCAGCTTTACCGGCGTATTAAAAAGTAAATATATATGAAATAGTAATAAATAGTAAAGAATATAATCACACATCATTCACTTCTTTGTGAAAAGAAATGTAGAAAAAAATATTATTCACGTCTTCCGGGCTGATAAGCCGTGGTCCAATTGGCTCTGAACTGCCAGATGGGCTGTCTGATGGACCACGGCCCATCAGCTCGGAAGACGTGAATAATATTGACTCCGACCATAAAAGCCTTCAATGATTTATAGTAAACAAAAATGTTCGTATGAAGCCGCTATTCACCACTTGCACCGCTTCACCATGCGCGTGTGCACTCCTTTGTGTATTTCGAGGGGAAACAGGAGCGGAGTCGAAGTTGCCCGAGCTCACAAGAGCATTGGGCATCCTAGACCGGCAAGTACCGTAGCTCGTGCGGGCGCAGTTTGCCATGTCTGAACCTTCCCACTTCGTCGTATTACTGGTTGTTCATTGCAGCACTAAAATTAAGTCTACTTGTTTCTGGAAGAATGTCGAAATTCCAATGACAGCACTCTTGGTGTTCCCATATATTGATAGTTAACTCTAATGCAATTTTGCAGGCCATTCTTTCCTCCTGTAGTCTCGAATACGTTTTCCATAAACACGTAGGATAGGTTAGCCAACATATATTATGTAAAGATAAGACTGTCGGTAAAATATAGTAAACAACTGCTGTTTCTCATTTACAGAGGAAAAAGAAGACATGGAGCATCTACAGGCCTACAACAGGAAACTGTTGGCGAATATTCTTCCAGTTCATGTGGCGGAACACTTCCTGGCCAGCGACAAGCATGCAGATGTAAGAAAATCCAGTACTCTTTTTACATTAAATGTCCCATCAATATAGGTACATCGTTTTCGCTGTAGAGAGATCTTTGTCTCTGATATTTCACTTTACTTGCATCTAGAACTAAGCCGAATTAACCGAATAAAAAGTATCTCTTGCAATAGAAACGGCGTATATTTCAACAAGACCTGAATTAACGACTGACTAAACATGCGCTCTATTCGTGCTGTAAAATATTCAACATGAAAAATTCAAAGTGTAACACGTTACGAGTAAATATGTTAAGTCAATTTGCAGATTTGTGTCCAAAAATGTATGCACTGCATGTTAAATTTAAAATGTTGACAAGAAATATTACGGGTTTCATTCATGTTTAGTACACATGACAGTTTCGCCCGTCCATATTTAACCATTTTTCGAAGACAGCACAGATAACTAGTTCTGCTCGCCGATTCTCTCCCCGAATCAGTTGATTTTTCTTTTATATTTGCAGTATACAGCTCAGTAAATATAACTATACATATATATTAAAAGACTTACTATATTTATATGTAAACTTACATATTATTACAAGGGGAGGAGTTCCCATTAATGGGTCCTCTGTCAGGATCTAAATATGCCATTTTTTAGGAATATGTGGTATGGATATTTGTTTTTTATTCTTGTTTGGTACATGGGATGTTTGGCCAGTTTGAAGTGTGAAAGGGCTGGGATTTGAGGAAGGTTAAAATAAACGTTGGAGGCCAGAAACGTGATGTATTGTTCTACAGGTTCCACGTTAAAATAGTTATGGAGTTGGTTGTTAGGGCAAGGATCAGTTGATGCTCAGTGTCGGAATGAGAGCGCGCTACTGTCGACCCTGAAGAGATTCGGCATTCGGCACATGGTTACGCACTCTGACATTCAGGGAAGGGTCAGTTACAGCAACACAACCGGAAGAAGGCAAGTGGTCCGCGAGTTACTTTCGATTTACGAAACGGAGAATACAGATGCTGATGTTTCCCGGTTGTTCGGGTCAAACTGTCCCTTATCCCTTACATGAAAGCACCCCATTAAGCAGAAGACACACGCCTGAATGGACAGTGGGTTCCGAACGGCTCAACGGAACGTTTAAAAGTGTCAATAATCCCTTGCGAGCATTAAGCACCTTAAACAGTTGAGACTTAAATACCTCAACAGTAGTCCGACTTTAACAAGCAGGGGTAAATCCGCAGATTATTCCGGGAGTTTCGTACTTAAACGGGCAGCGGATTCCGGACGAGTATACCGGACCGGAGTGTGTGTGTGTGTGTGTGTGTGTGTGTGTGTGTGTTTGTGTGAAAGTTAACGAAGAGAGTGTGCGCCGCTGCTGTTGCGCAGGAGCTGTATCACGAGCAGTGCGAGTTCGTGTGCGTGATGTTCGCGTCCATCCCCAACTTCTCCGAGTTCTACGTGGAGCTGGAAGGCAACAACGAGGGCGTGGAGTGCCTGCGCGTGCTCAACGAGATCATCGCCGACTTCGACGAGCTGCTGGAGGACGAGCGCTTCCGCTACGTTGAGAAGATCAAGTCCACCGGCGCCACCTACATGGCCGCCTCAGGTACTTCGCGAGCAAACTCTTTGGCGAACAAAAAATTCATTATTTTAGACGTCCGCTAGTAAAAGCGGTTACTTGTAGGGCATGCACGGCGTCTCAAAAAGCGGCGGCTCAAATGTTGCAGGTAAATCTGGGAATTCAACAAAGAAAATAAATAATTTTCTTTGTTGCATTCACAGATTTATCTATGACCAACTTTATGTTGTACCAATTAGTACAAATCTACATGATCCTGTTTCATTTATGAACACAATATAACCTCTTAAAATATAAAATTGGTATTATATTGACCAAAAAATGGATGTGTTCATATAAGTTACTATCAACGCACGGTTTATTGAGCTTTCATTTCGCTAGATGCGAGAGTGGAGAGGGTGTATGTTTCGATGCCAGGACTATTATTTCAAATCTTTAGCATGTTCTTCAAAAAAAGAGGGTTTTAATTACATGGGAACGAAGATTTATGGTCATATAATACTTTCTCATACAATACTACTAATCTTAATTTACCATAGTAGCCAATTAAGTGATTTGTACTGATGAATTAAAATAAAAAGGAAGTCAATCAGTATGTCTTAAAAAATACGTAAAGCACGTAATAGATTTCATTTTGTTTTTTTCACGAGTGATTTCATTTTGTTGTCAGATTGCGCCACTTTGCTAATCAGCTTCATCTCGCAACCTTTCATTATCGCAATACAATGTCGCTTTGTATTCGTATCGTAAATAACTATTTACGAAAAAAGGATTGTACAATTGTACGTTTCAAAACGATATTGGAGAATTATTATCAAACGACATCGTTAGGCCGTCTTCGACTAATCAATTGATTATTCTCCAACCTCCTATTGAAATACGATGATATGTGGCGAATCCCGTAAAACATTCTTTGGATTTTGTAAAACATTCTACCCTTTGTAAAACTTCCAAATTAGTATAATTTTCATTTAAACTGGACTCTTCATCTAGCGAAAAGTGACAGACTGATGTTGATAATATCTTATAGGAGACCATACATTATAGAACACTTTTGTTCTAATATTACTTATTGCTCTCTGATTGTAGTTGTTTATAATCAGAAACTCATTACAGTGCATAAGTTGATTATCCAGCGTGTCTTGGGTATAAATTTATGACAACTATTAAACAGCCTCCCGTCCCCAACCCCAGCTCACTACACATCCTCCCGCATTCACTGCCCGCCCCGCACCCTCCGCCCCGCCAAGTATTAATTGCGCAACTTTTCTTGAACGACGACCTTGCTTCCCCTCTCTGGCATAATAAACAGTTGAAGGCAAAAGCTCGCAGTGTGCGTTGATGACAACATTCCAAACACGTCTTCACTTTCACGAAATAGAAACTATTTTCTGCTGAAGACAAGAACGTCTGCCCGTGAGTTTCTCCAAAAAAATCTGAAGTAATGACTGAAGCTGGTGACGATCCATCACAGGAGATACCTCGAACTTCAGTGAAAGTTGGAACGTAAATTATTGAGAAAGTTGCGAAGGCGTGACTGATTCTCCAGAGATTGGTTTTGTTGCATAAAATCGTGTGGCCGTTTTCGTAACTAATACCCCCACTCTACCCGCATTTCTACAATCTATCGTTCAAGAAAAGTTGCACAAGTTTTGCTATCCACCTAGCAACGATGTCTACAAACACAAACTTCTAAGAGTAACCTAATTTAGGGAAAATTTGAAGTCGGCCCCCCAAGTTTTTTCTCGTCTGCTCAAAAGTGTACGTGAAAAATGTTAGAGCAATCGTCCCTCTGATTCAGAAGTAGTGGAATAAACGCATACGCGCGCATACACACATTCCTGCATACCCACATACATCTATTTTTTGGGCATTAATAAGTTAATTTATCAACGTAATGATAATGCAGAGAATGTTGAAGGAAGACATTTAATAGAAAGGAAGAATAAAGTGTGGGGAGTTACTTCCCAAAGAATTACCGTTTCTTTAAAAACTTTAAAAACTATTAAACCTGTCCAGCATTTCATTACTGACTATTGCTATTAGTTTCAATGACCACGTGCCGCAACAGTTGAACTAAACAATATTCTTAGTTCGTGTATCATCTATTAACACAAGTTTGTTTGTTTTTTCTAAATTTTATTTTAAACTGATATTTACCTAAATTTGGTCTCACTTGTGTGACCTATTGCAGCAGTAAACTCGGCAACTCGGAACCTTCTTTCAGGCAATATATGTGGTTGGCAGTACCTGTACAGTTTCGCGTAATGAGAATATAATCACGTGTGAAGTCTTCAAAGTCGTTAGCTAGCAATTACGTCTTGTACACTTTCGACCTCCGTGGAAGTTTGTTATTCAGCAGCTCTCGTTAATCATCAATCAAAACATTTCCTCAATAACGTCTGTAAGGGGTGGATACAAAATGGATGAAAGCCTGATGAAACCAGAAGGTGAACTGTGCCAACAACATCTAGATTACATTACTTGTGCCCCAATTCGAATTTTCACGTTCGCTTTATTTTTTGCATTTTTAATTCAGGGGCATGCCCTGTAATTTTTTATAATTCTGCACTTTCGAAGAGTAAGGTACTATGTCACAAATATATTTTTACATAAAAACAGTTTTAAAATGTTTTGTCTTCTAAATTAAAGTTAACTTGATTGTTTTGGCAGCTTCCAATGACATTAATGTCTTTTGGAGTACTTAGTTCGTATATCTCCTAGAAGTTTTGTTAAACTGGAACAAGTGGGTTAAAATACTTCATTTTGATAAAAACATTAGTGGTGTACACCAGAACGTACTCTCTCACACTTAGTAACAGTTACGTACACTACTAGAAAAAAATTATTGCATTACTTGACTTTCAGAATCATTGTTATCTGCAATCAGGGTGTAACTGCCAGGGGAAATTTTATTTTTCCGCCCCGAGAAGGTGGCACTCTCGGTTATTTATTTTTGTTAAACAAAGAACGTTTACATTGGGAAATACTTTGTAAATTGAGTTCAAGCTCGTTGTTGTCCCTGTTGATTCCAGAGGAGTGTAGTCAGTAGTTACAAAAAATAAGAAAGAGTGTTGAATTAACTCCTCGGAAGAAAAGTGTCATTATTGCTCTAGCATCTCTAGGGAGTGTCTACAAAATACATAGCTAAGAAAATAGATGTTAATCGATCTACAGTGAGCAGGCTATTGAAGAGACACCTGGAAACCGGACCTGTGGGCAGAAGTCAGGGAAGAGGACGTGAGAGAGTAAATACAGCGAAACAAAACAGAATACTGAAACGAATATGCTTGAAGAACAAATGCATGAGCTCATGTGAACTTGTACGTGAATGGAAAGAGTAAAAATGTGTTGTACTTAGCAGCGGAATTGTTCGAAACAGGTTATTCGAGGTAGGATTGAATGCATGAAGACCGCGGAAGAAGCCTTTTCTGACTATGAAGATGAGACAGACTCGATTAAAATTGGCAAAAGAGAAGGCGGAATGGACCAAAGAAATGTGGGCATGAGTAATGTTCTAGAATGAGTCAAAATTCATTCTGTATGTAAATGATGCCAACATCTTTGTTAGTCGCCAAAATGGCGAAGAATTTCTCCCTGAACGTGTGGAACCTAAAGTTAAGTTTCTCCAAAGTCTGGTCTGGGGATGCGTATCTTCTAAAGGAATAGGGGCACTGCACATTGTGCAAGTGCCAGTAAATTCTGAAGTTCATATTCACATTACAAATATTTCTAAGAAAGCATTAAATAAAAAAATGTAGGCTGGCCAGGAAACAGCCCGGACTTAATTCCGATTGAGAATTGCTGGAAATTAATTGAAAATGCAGTTTCCCGAAAGAAACCCAGAAACAAGGAGGAGCTTCACCAAGCTATCTATAGTGTGTGGTTCAACCACATTTCGCAAGAAATTATTAAAGATTTAATATTTTCAATGCCCCGGAGGTGCAAAGCTGTAATAAAAGCTCGAGGAAGAAATACACAGTATTAGAATCCATTTTTACACATTAAAGTACTGTTTTTAGTAAAAAATTACATTCATTTTTTATTTGCCTTCAAAAATATCTTGGTTTATTTATTTTGTTTCATGATTTCATTGTTTATAGTTGTAATTTCATTAACATTTAATTATAATGAGAATTTGTAATACAATCGTTGATTACTTGGTCTACTCTCAGTGTTCATAAAAATGATATTTTCAAATCTAAAATTAAAACCTTAAAAATGAATAACAATACTTTAAAAAAGGAAATATTTTTATTGTAAAATTTGTTTACTACTTAATAACGGTCATTTGTAATAGATTTAAACTCATGATTTGGATTTTTTTGGAAATAAAACTTAGGACAATAAAAATTTTTACAGGTGATGCAATAATTTTTTCCAGTTGCGCAATATTATAACATCAATTTCTGATCATATTAACATATTTCAGTAATCACTTCTAAAACTATAGAACATGAAGTGCGAAAACGAATAATTTTAAAGCTATATCAGCACCAATTCGACAATTAAAACTGCGCTTTATACAAATATAAAATAAGAAATGCCAACTATAAGAAGGAATTCTCAGATCTTCAAACGGCGTGGAATGACGTAGCAAGTATCGAATTGCAATTTGATATATCATGAAAGAATAGCAAATTGAAATTTGAATTTGCAGTTTCAAATATTGCAAAGAATATGACTTTATTATTGACATTTTTAAAAAAATGTTCATTACGTATTTAAAAAACTTATATTTTTAGAGCAATTTCATTTAACAATAAAATCTCTATTATAAATATTGAACTTTTGTGATATTATTTTTTTGATAGTTTGCAGTTTTTGAAAATACTCGTTGGCCGAAAATGGGACCAGCGCCACCTTTACCGTTCTTTTTACATACGAGGTAAAAATTTAAGAAAAACTTTGGAACCGTTTTGAGAAAATAATTGTTTTAAAATGTTGAAAATTTGCATGTTTCGCGCAAGGTACACAAAAATTCCTCATATTTTCGAAAAATTTTACATGACCTTATTTCAATACACGTCTTAACCAAAAGATTTTATTGAGAAAAAAAAGCTTTATATCTTCAATACTGTAGTGAGATCTGCGTCGTTTTTAAAGAGTTCTTTACGCTGTCCCAGGGCAAAGTTTAATCAAACAATGTTTAGCCATTATTGAGGAAATTTCGAAAATGTTGAGTTTTCATGTAAAGTACCTCCAAAAATCAAAATATTCGTTTGAAACTCGCAGGGCCTCGAGTTAGTGCAGATTAGGGAATATTTGTTAGGGAATAAAATTTTTTGAGAAAAAGGTCTGAACAGTTTTTGCACTAGTGTTGACCACGGACGGACCAACTGATAGATTTTCGTCGTCAATCGAATTTTCGATGTCGAGGACCCACAAAACACAAAACTGACTACACAACGTGTTATAGGAAGTAATTTACTGCAATCTTATTCCTATAATAAGATTGAATCCCGAAATAATTAAAGGACACTGGATGTCCAATATTCTATTATTATTAGGGGAGCCATCAGTTTGGTCATGCAAGGAGCCTTTAGATATTAATTTGGTCCTGCGAGCAGCGAACACTGTTTTGTTCTGTGAGCCTCGCTAGAGCGCACGAGCGGCAGGTTGGCCACCCCTACAGCTCTGCATGTGGGTTGCACAGGTCTGACGCGGAGTACGTGCGACATGAAGAACTACCGGCACGTGTCGGCGATGGCGGACTACGCGCTGCGCATCCGGGAGCAGCTCAACGAAGTCAACGAGCACTCCTTCAACAACTTCAAGATCCGCATCGGTGAGTCTCGGCGCTCCGCACTGCCCGCGCGCCCGACACATTCATTACGAAAACGTTCACACGTGAGGTCATCAACATACACTGTGTCAAGGGAGAGGGAGGACCGATGAGTCAATTTGAGTTGAAATTGAGAAAAGGAGTCGTTTAAAAAATACGTTCTCAGAATTTGTTTTTTCTTAATCCCAATCCCCCCTCCTAACTCTTATAATCAGCCACCGGCCACGTTTAGCTCTAAGCCAGAATTGCCACTGACTCTCCAGCAACTTTGTCCGGAACGTCCTAAGGTTCGAGTCCTAGCGGTGACGACATTTCGACTAGGTCGAATTCAGTCGCTGTCTGGAGAAGAATTCTAGCAGCTGCTCTGATCGGTGGTTTTTCGTGGATTTCCTATCAATACCGGACGAATACCCGAGCAGTATCCTAACAAACGGGCCACGGGCATTACCCCTCACCCAAACACATTTGCACGTGTTATTTTTTTTCTCTTCCTTGTCCTATCCTCTCTCCTTACATACACACACTTACGCTTACTACCCTACCACACCTGTCGAGAAAGCAGTCGGAAGCTTAGAGCTTGTACCGGTTGGGGCGGTCCCCAGCTGGTGAGAGATATCTGGATAGAGAAAACTCCACGACGAATTGGTCTGCACCGAATTTTACCATTCAGTGAAGGATGTACCAAGCCACCTCCTGAGATAAAACACTCACTACACTGGGGCCAATGACCATACCAGTTGATGTCCCCGGAAACATCAGTCATACAAACGCCCTCTAACAGGGAAATTCCATTTGAACGAAGCTCGTTTCATTTTATGAGTTCAATAAAAGTACAAATTAAAAAAGATGGTTTAATATAAAATATTTAATAACTGTTTTGCATCAATTATAAACACTAGTTTATTCTTTGAAGTTTAGGCACAATGATTATTACATTCATTATTACAAACAATTGTGACAACGTCGCTTTGAAAACCGTGTCATTACCCAGGGGCGGATCTAGAGACGAATTTGGTGAGGGGGAGTGGATTTTTATGTCTTTGTGTGTGTGTGTGCGTGTGTGTGTGTCTGTGTGTGTGTGTGTGTGCGCGCGCGCGCGTGTGAGTGTGTGCGTGTGTGTGTGTGTAGTATAAGCAAAAATGTAAATTTTAAACAAAGTAAATTATTTATCATAATATTTTTATTTTGTTTAAAGTATTTTAAGTTTAATATTTAATAAATACTTTTAGTTTCAATTAAAAATATTAGTAATTTGGTATTAAAATCGTTGAATTCAGAGCTGCAAAACGGCGAAGGATTACGGTATCACATTTTTCATTCTATGATACAGATGTAAACAGATAAAATTTAAATAAGAACGCATGAAATCGATGTACAATTTAAACATTCGCTTTCGTACAAACTTTACTGTCCATGACTGAAGAAGACCGACAAACGTAATAGCGGAACGTATTTAACAAAATATGTGCCTCTTCTACTTTCTCTTTTTATTAGATTTCTTTCCCTTTTCTTATTATTTTTTGAAACTGTATATCTCTTCTTAAGTATTATTAACCGCTCCGTCTCCAGGCGTACGTAAGCAATCCATACCCCATTCTCTTGTTTCGGGCACACTGTAATTGCGCGAAATGTCACAGCGGGCTACGATCACGCGCTTGGCACCTAGAGAGAGAGAGAGAGACTTTACGTCAACGCTGTTTCCGATTGCGTCAGCCAAGCACCTCTTGACAAGCGGAGTAAGAAAGAGATATAAGCTGTCACACGCCAGTCGAAGATATTTTCCATACGCACCACTGTGCTAAAATAGCGAGAATCAGGATTCCCATTTGCAACTAAAAGGCTAAAGACAAAACGCGCGGTAATTTTTTCGAAACATTTTAGACGATTCTACAATTTTATTCTAGTGATTTTATTTTTATTTTTCCTGAACTTTTACCATTTTAATTTTCTCTAGGCTTCTTGGGTGAGAGCTTGGCCCCCTCGATCCGCAACTATTACATCAGTAACATACCCAACGGCTTGAGTTACGCATCTCAATTTATGATAAAAAAAATTTACGTCATTTTTCTTTGCTTTTAAGGCATTTTAAAAACATTCCAAGAGTATTTTATTGATAACTTTTGGCGATGTTTTGGGTAATAAAAATCCGCCCCTTCGTTATTCTATTTCCCACCTGAGGGAAACTATACAAATGCCCGACTGTAAGTTGAGTGTGATCTGTCAATTAAGAGAGTTTTTTATACAAAATGTTTTGGTCGAAAGGATCATATTACAGCTTGTGTGGGATGACGCAGGCGAAACTCAGCTTATGCTGCTATACGATTTATTCCTTTTAATGAGTATCCGAAAATATTTTTACGGAGAAGAGAGGTTACGCGAAGGTGACCGAATGCTGCGCGACAAAACGGCGAATTTTCAACAGAAAAACTCATATTACAGGGCCCTGGAAAAGACAAAAAGAGATAAATCCAGTTGCTAAATTTAGGGGGGGGGGAAATCCTCTAACACGTGATGTAGCGTTTTTCATGCGTATTCATGTTTAGTTAATTCATGTTCACCGATAAATCAAAAGACGGCAAACAGCCGATTTTCTCCAAAATTGATCTATAATCAATCTAGCTGATGTTGCGGCCCGTGGAATTTGAAACATATTTTAATTTTGGGGGGTACTTTCCACGAAGCATCTGGGATATTTTTCGGATAATTTGATTTTTTTGGAAAATAATTTTCAAAAAAATGGCTCCATAATTTTTAATTTCTTTGTTATATACTGTGAAAGACTTAAGAGAATGGTCGCACGTCTCATGTTCGTTGTGAAAATTGATTTTGTGAAAATTGCAAAAGTTCAATATCTTTTAGGAGTCTTCCTACAATAAAATATTAAAGATGGAGATTTTTCCCTTAATGAAATCTGTTCCTTAAAGATAGATTTAAAAATAAGGTCATGAACAATTTTTAGAAAATTTTAGTATTTTTCACGTAATTTTGCGAGAAAATATGAGCTGCTATAGCATCGCTATAACTTAACTATTGTTATTTGAAAGTTTCGTGAGAAGTTAAAATTAATAGTAACTGAAAAAGTTTGAGGGAGGGCGATTTTCCTCATCCCCCCCCGTGGATCCGCGTCTACATTACCCACTGAAAGACTGTGGTGTTCACGCTTCTGGGGGTACGTCAGAGATGTCAGATCAAATTTGGCTCACCGAGGGTTTCGATTTGGATTTTTGAGCTTGCACGACGCGCGGGAAAAGTTCCTTAATACAACGGGGTACTGGAGGCAGCAAACAGCTATAGGTACACGTTTCCATTACTTTCCATTTACTTAAAACTTGTGCTTTCCAGTCGTGAATGAATTTAACGAAGTGTAAATAGGCCTACTAAAAGATTAGTCGTACGTCATTGGCGAAATATAGATTTTTATGCTACATCGTCATTTAATACAAACTTAATGTCATAAAAAGTATGTTGTTATGATCGAAGTAGCAGAACCTATCCCTTCGTCTTTGTAAAAGGTCGTATCACTGTCGGCCGAGGGAACCTTGATCGGATCGGGGAGTGCTGGTTTGTAAGAACGTGTTTGCGGTGAGAGTACAGCCATGGTTAATTTTTTTTCTTTCTTTTTTTATTTTCTTTTCATTTTAGTTCATTACTTTTTTTTAAAAACATGAAAAAATAAGACTGCAAAGCTTAACAAAAAATAATAGTTACATTATTTACTGTATAATGACTCACAACATTGATCACATATGTTAGCAGAAAGACAAAACTTTATTTACTACATCGATTATTTATTTTGAATCTCACACTACGCTTTGATATTCGCTCTGACGTCAATACATCAGCTTTTTACTGATTTTAAACTAATAAACAAACTTGTTAGCAAAATCATCAACACAAATGAAATAATCTCCACGAACATTGGAGGACAACCAATAGTGTGTCAATGAAGAATGACACGAATGTTTGACGAGGGCATCCAATATTAGTGAATTGGGGGGAAGCCCCGACATTCCTGAAATCACTAACGGTTTTGAAAGTTTGCAATGAGTAATGTTGTTTTCCTAATGACTGCCTCGGTTAATCGGGACATTTGTACTGTTTTATGTAATTTGTTTGTTTGACAGTGTACTCGACCGTGCTTGAGCCTTATCAAATGAACTATGGATTATCAGTTTTCGTACCCGAGGTAAACTCGTATCTCAATGGCCACGAATATTACCAAGCCTTTACACAAAATAGGATTTGTGAAGGTGTAAAATGTTCCTATTTGTTGCGCAAAAAATGCAAATACTTATTGTTGATAAGTGTTGTACAAAAATAAATTTACTTCCGTGCACTGAACTTATCAAAACATCATTTTTAGTAGTGAGAAAACAAGGGCCCCATCGTAAACAAAACAAAAAAAAAAATACTACAATGCTTATAACTCTAAAATGGTACCTTAAAATGGCAGCCCCTACCCCGGCTACCCCCCTCCACACACACACTTCAGAATTTTTAGTATGTTATGCAGTACGTACAAACACACAATCATGCAAAGTTTCAAAACTAAGGGATTTTTTTCACTCGAGTTGTCTAATTTGTCTGAACTACGATGAGGAATTCTTAGACCCTGAAATGGAGCTTCTAAAGGACACATTTCGAGCTAACGGATACAGTGCTCACGCAGGGGCGGATCTAGACAAATTTTGGGGGGTAATTCAAAATGTTTTAGTTGAATGCGTCACATTAGATTTTGTATATAAAAAAAATCGCAAGCTACACTCACCTCATTCTGCGGTACGGTCATGTTCTATTATTTTTAATGATTATCCGAAAATATTTTTGTTTGAAGTTACACGACGAGTTAAAATTATTAGTTACTGAAAAATTTTAGGAGGAAATTGCCCCTATGTCCTTCCCGGTAGATCCGCGCATGGTAACACTGCCAATCAAGCCGGACGGTGGGCAGCGATCAGTTTTAAACTGCGATTTTCGCAACTCTGCTCCTGGCAAGTATAAGCTGCCGACAGTTCCATTAGGATCCTCTCACCATTTGCTTCGTTTGTCTTCCTCCAACATAATGACGTTCACGCTCTCGATAGGATGAAACTGTCAACAGCTGATACCTCCCAGGGGCAGAGTTGCATAAATCGCAGTATAAGCATTGCATCACTACTAACGATGCCAACCGCGACATGGTAATTCTACAAGGGGTTACTGACAAAATTAGCAAGCTTTTTGAGCCACCTCGACTTAAATTCCTATAAACCCCACAAAAACTTGGTCTAAAGCTCGTTCGCGTTAAAGACAGTGTTCCACCTCAGGAGTGTAGATCACCTGCAGCAGCGGCAAGTTACGACGAGGTGAACCATTAGGATCATCTCATCATTTGTTTCGTTCGTCTTCCTCTGACACACGAAGTTTTAGTTGTCCCTCTATGTACGCGATAAACGTGATTATTCCATGACAATATTTGTGCTCCTGTACTGTTGACAGTGTCGATCCTAACTATGGATTATCAGTTTTCGTACCCAATAGCCTCTGAAACTTGCAAAATAAAATGTGATAAAATGTAAAACGTTCATGTTTTGTGCATGTCATGTGCATAAAATATTCAAAGTTTATAAATGTGAAACGTAACTAAAATTACTTCCATGCATTGAATACAACATAAATTTTATACGAGGTATCTAAAAATAGGATTTGCAAAAAATAAAACCAAGAACTTTCCGAACCTATAACTGTAAAAGGGTTAATTTAACAACAAAATCTTTTTTGTAGGAAAGTTTGTCCACTATAATTCTCTTTGGATCAGAACTTTCTTATATATCCCCAAATAATTAGTTTATTAGAAATAGTTACATATTTATAACAAAATAATTCCAAATTATAACTACCCTAGATTAAAGATATTAGGAAATGGCTACGGGAAAATAGTAAGGGAAACTTCACCACTGCAGCACCATATCCCATCTACGTCTGTAGCTGAATAGCACAACCTAGCACTTAAAAACTTTTTTTTAGAAACAGCTGGGAAGGGGATGAGTCAAATTAATGGCAAAGAACAAGAAACACCATGCCGTTTTGGAACACCACCACTTCGCCACTTAATTGGGAGGGGGGGGGGGCAATTAATGGTTAGAAGTTTTGTAAGCCCTCTGTAATGTTTCAAGACTGGATTTCTATTCTCAGCAGATTTTCTTCCTTGTGCTCATTGGTCTCCTTCTTTAACTACCATTAACTTAAAATTTGCAGTTTACACAATTGAATTGTGAACTGTAAGTTTACACATCTGTTCCACAGATCCCAGAAGGGAGGGGGGGATGTCAAGTTTCCATTTAGGAATTTGCTACAAATTTTGATTATTGCCACCATGTGTATGGTAGGATGTATAATTGCATCAACTATGTTTCTTTCCTTTTTGTTTTCTCTTTCCATTCCAATATCTTGCAAAATACTGGATAGCATTCACTGGTTGTAGAATCCAGTCTACACTCTCTCTGTATTCAGGAGATGAAATCTTGGCAATGACTTCTAATTGACATTGTGTTTCGCTTACATTGCCATTCTCATTTTACCTGCCTATTCAGAAATCACTCCGAAAATCTAAAGTGGAAGCCAAGAATACTTCTGCAAATAAACAAGTTACCTTGGTTGATTTTTAAAATTTTGCAACTTATTTAATGTCGCAATTCAGGTTTCTTAACATAAAAAATTGTTGTAGAAGACTAGCTCCCATCTAAGTTAAAATTGTGAAAAATTAACACAATCCCATATTTTTCCAATGATATATTAGAAGGAAAAAATTCATCTTATATTCAGATAAATATAAAAACAAGAAATTAAGACAAGGAATATGGTGAAAAACAACACACTTGAAAAATAAATTTTTATTTCAATTTTTACCTAATGTACAAAATCAATATTCATTCTAATTACATTAGTACAAATTTTTTAAAACATTGCTGTGATCTTGTTGAAAACTGAATAAATCAAGAACAGCCTTGATTATTATTGAACTGGTGATGATGTGTTCCTCTGCATCAAGTAGATCTGCAACTTAAAATGACTATTAAAAATTTAATCAATGATTCTCCAAGGCATATAGTTAAGTAATCAAAATCAAGTTTTGAACATTAATGGCAGTTGGACTGGAACAAAGTTACCTCACCCAGAATTTTATTTACCAATTGGCTTTGTCCACAGGAATCAATATCGGCCCAGTTGTCGCAGGAGTCATTGGTGCTCGCAAGCCTCAATACGATATCTGGGGCAATGCAGTGAATGTTGCGAGTCGAATGGACTCTACTGGTATCTTGGACCACATTCAGGTGTGTGATAACCTGCAAAAATAGCAATTAAAACAATAGTGAAATGTTAAGAACAGTGTAATGTTTGTGCAATTCAAACACTGCACGTTATCATTAAAAGTTACACGTCACTTATTAAAAAGAAAGAAACCCACCATTTTTCTATTTAGCGGAATATTACAATATGACCTAGTCTACACAGTATTTTCTTCCTCAATCATTCATCAGGTCCATTAATTCAAAAAGTGAGAAATTCAATCCAATCCTCGTTTTCAGGTTACACAAGAAATGTACCAGATCCTCCATGCTAAGGGATATCCACTAACATGTCGGGGAAGCATCAAGGTGAAAGGGAAAGGAGAAATGGTGACTTATTTCCTAAATGGATATTCAACAAGACCACAGAACACACCCACATCAGTAAGCGGTGATAGCAGTATTGGAGGAGCCACTCCTGCAACACCCACCACACCAGTTCCTGCACCAACCAGCTAGGACATGTCACATATGGGGTCAGCAGGTACCCCAAACTATACGCACAAGGAAGTGGCAAGACCACCTCTCTGCTACCCAAATGCCTCAGCTTTGAGGCAAGTTGGTGTTAGCCCGAAGTGGAAGACTGAATATAATGCTCATTATGAGTATTTGGAGAGAACCGGATATGTTCAATCACAATTGTTTGGAAATATTCATGGTAGGAAGCTTCCACAAGGGATGGAAGCATTGAGAAGAAGGGGGACCAGTAAAATGAACAAGGAGTTTTGAAACTGTATTCAACATTCTCAAACAGATAAAAAAGGACTCCATACTCAAAGCTCAATCATCCAATTTCACCAAGTGAAAGTCCAATCCTTTGGTGGAATTCACAACACAAACTTTCCATTTATCAATATTAAAAACTCATTTCCTTGTGAGAAAACAATTTATGTGAAATTCACAAATACACATAAGAAAAGCAGAGGCCAGCAATTGCCGAAATTAGGTTACAAATAAAGGCAATATTTTCATAATTGTTGAAGATGTTGTATATTCACTTTATGGTCAATGCTAAATTCAATTTCTTAATTGCCCGAAGCACCCAAAAATCAGACAATTAGAAGAAATGTTATTGACAAACTCACAATACTATTATTTATATAGTTCACTCCTTAGAAATCAAAGAGGATTAATAATAAAAGAACTATGGATGAAGCATTCATGTTCAACAGAATAGCATCGTAAAAAATTAAATCTCAAAAACGTCCTCAATAAAGACATTCCACAAAGAAGACAGAATTGAATATTATTGATGTACCTACAGTAAAAATGTTTAACTAAGCATAAAGAAACTTTTAAACGAACAGATTTACAATACAGAAATACAGACTTGTGTACATTTACTTACAACACATCAATAAAACTTGTAGAAAGAGAGTAAAAACAAGAATATATAATTTTCTAGCTCTTTTCACATGGTTCTTCTTCTTTGCATTTACTAGGGCAAAAATTAAAAGAACAGTCCAAAAAATATTGTTTTGAATGGAACAATGTAATTTATTACATACCTATAAATACAATATGTATTTTCAAACAAGTAGTAGTTCATTTATCACATATTGACTTAAAATAACATTTCTGGCAAAAACCCTTTTAAACTTTGATACCAATTTAGTAGAGCACAGCTCAAAACTAGTACTGAAGCATTGGTCTCAACAACATAACAATGGATTTGTCATGATTCATCAATGTAAATGACTTCACTCGTTAAATTCACAAGGCAGAGTATGTACTGTGTATCAAATCTGCCAAACCATGAAAGCGCTGGCTACACAGGGTACTCAAAAAAGATTTAAATTTCAAGACCATTTAAAAATGTTTGCTGTGGGATCTTGGATTTCTTGTAACTTGCATCTACCCAACAGTCAATTGTAAATCGGCCTAACATCCCTCTGTCATCTTTCACGATCTTATTTCCAGACTGTAGAAAAGAGATTGTAACAAAGATTGATTGATTTTCTATCATAAAATGGCAGATCTAAATTCTTTCTGTTTATTGTTGAGGATAAACTTTTAAGATAAATTTCTATAACTGCATGAGAAAATTTGGTAACAAATATTTCCCTCTGATCAGAATTTAAATAGTTCATTTATTTATATATATATATATAT